CTGAGAATTGTTTGGTGGTGTGTGGGGAAGCCCCTTCTCCCACCATTGGAATTGGAAACCTGCTTACAGATAAATTCAAGGCGTTGGCATGGTTGCCTTCCTTCTAAAGACTTTAGAGGAAAATACATCCCTTGCCTTTTCCGTCTTCTAGAGACTGTCCGCATTCCTTCACCTTGTCCGCACCTCCTTCCATCTTGAGAGCCTTCACTCTGACCTCTCGCCTTCCCTGACTCTGACTCTCCTGCTTCCTTCTTCCATTTAGAAGGACCCTTCTTTTTTTTTTTTTTTTCATTTATTTTTATTAGTTGGAGGCTAGTTACTTTACATCATTGTAGTGGTTTTTGTCATACATTGAAATGAATTAGCCATGGATTTACATGTATTCCCCATCCCGGTCCCCCCTCCCACCTCCCTCTCCACCCAATCCCTCTGGGTCTTCCCAGTGCACCAGGCCCGAGCACTTGTCTCATGCACCCAACCTGGGCTGGTGATCTGTTTCACCCTAGATAATATACGTGTTTCGATGCTGTTCTCTTGAAACATCCCACCCTCGCCTTCTCCCAGAGTCCACAAGTCTGTTCTATACATAGGAGTCTCTTTTTCTGTTTTGCACATAGGGTTATCGTTACCATCTTTCTAAATTCCATATATATGTGTTAGTATACTGTAATGGTCTTTATCTTTCTGGCTTACTTCGCTCTGTATAATGGGCTCCAGTTTCATCCATCTCATTAGAACTGATTCAAATGAATTCTTTTTAATGGCTGAGTAATATTCCATGGTGTATATGTACCACAGCTTCCTCATCCATTCGTCTGCTGATGGGCATCTAGGTTGCTTCCATGTCCTGGCTATTATAAACAGTGCTGCGATGAACATTGGGGTACACGTGTCTCTTTCAGATCTGGTTTCCTCGGTGTGTATGCCCAGAAGTGGGATTGCTGGGTCATATGGCAGTTCTATTTCCAGCTTTTTAAGAAATCTCCACACTGTTTTCCATAGTGGCTGTACTAATTTGCATTCCCACCAACAGTGTAAGAGGGTTCCCTTTTCTCCACACCCTCTCCAGCATTTATTGCTTGTAGACTTTTGGATAGCAGCCATCCTGACTGGTGTGTAATGGTACCTCATTGTGGTTTTGATTTGCATTTCTCTGATAATGAGTGATGTTGAGCATCTTTTCATGTGTTTGTTAGCCATCTGTATGTCTTCCTTGGAGAAATGTCTGTTCAGTTCTTTGGCCCATTTTTTGATTGGGTCATTTATTTTTCTGGAGTTGAGCTGGAGGAGTTGCTTGTATATTTTTTAGATTAATCCTTTGTCTGTTGCTTCATTTGCTATTATTTTCTCCCAATCTGAGGGCTGTCTTTTCACCTTGCTTATAGTTTCCTTTGTTGTGCAAAAGCTTTTAAGTTTCATTAGGTCCCATTTGTTTATTTTTGCTTTTATTTCTAAAATTCTGGGATGTGGGTCATAGAGGATCATAGAAGGACCCTTCTATTTCTCTTGGTAAAAGTCACATTCCACTTGAAAATAGGTGGGTTATTGTCAAATATCTTTTGATATTAATTTCTAACATGATTCTACAGTGATAAGAGGAGAGATTCTGTATGATTTCAATACCTTTAGACGGTGAAAGTTTTGCACCTTGTTTTATGCCCCTGGATGTATTCCAGTGTCTTCTAGTTTATAGTCTATGGAAACTTGAACAGAATTTGTATTCTACTGCTGCGTGAAAATTGTATAAATCTTAATTATGTTGAATTGGTTCATAGTGCTTTTCAGGTCTACTAGATCCTTCTACTCTGTAGAAGAGAATTGTTAATTTTTGAGAAAATGGTATTGTATTCATTGTATTAATTTTTGAGAGTTTTATATTGAAAGCCCAACTAAAAATCTTAATTTATCTACTTTTAAAAATAACTATAAGGTATAGTGGAACTATATGTAACTTTGTTCTGTATTTTCCAAGTCTCCTGTTAATGTGTTATCATACTTTCATAATAAAAAAAAAAAACTGTTTTAATTTTAAAAAGGACTTGTGATTACACTGGGCCCAACAGAAAATCAAAAATCTCCCCATCTCAAGACCTTTACCTTAATCACATTCACACCATCTTTAGCCATGGAAGGTAATGTAGTCACAGATTCCAGGGACTAGGATGTGGACATCTTGGGGGGAGTGCTATTCTGCCTATCACAGTTGCTAAATGGGAATGCAGGCCTAGAATAGCCATGTCTTCCAATTTGTTTCATGATAAGCTAGAATCTGGATTTTTTTACATGATTGAAACCGTTAACCTAGCAGGTCTGAGACAGCTATCCTTGGAAAGGCCTGCTCGCAAGGTTGGCCCTCAGCTAGCATCTGAGAACTTGGCTCTTAGAGTGCTCCCAGTCAACAGCTGATTGATCAGGATGGTTTGTTGTGCCTGGACAGTGTGGGTAAACGATGTGATTTATGCTAAACACCCATTTTTCTTCTGAGTCTGGAATTTTGGCACGTGTAAGGCAGAGGTGCCTCTATGAACAGCCCCACTAAAAACCTGGGGTGCTGAGTCTCTAATGGGCTTTCTTGGGCAAAAACACTGCAGGGAAATATTGCTCTCTTTTCATTTAGGAAGAGTACATTGTGTAAGCCCTTATGGGAGGGAGTGGACATGGATTCCTTCTGATTCCTGTTGTGTCTTTTCCCCTTTTTATCCAGGTGCATATTGTTCTTGCATCACTGTAATAAACCCTAGCTGTGAGTACAAGCTTATGCTGAGTCCTGTGAGTCTGCCTAGTAAGTCTCCTAACATAAGGGTGGTCTTTGGCGATGCCCCATACAGAAAAAGTTCCTAATTTTTTTTTCATATTCTAAATGCAATATGGGTTAACACTGTGGGTGCCAGATGAAACATGTCAGAGAGGGAATTTGTTTTCCAGGCTGCTAATTTGAAACTTCTGGCTGCTTAAGAGTTTTACCTTAATTTCAGTCCCATCTCTATAGTGAAACAATTCATCAGACACACACTTAGCAAATGTTACCATGTGCCAAGTGCCATACTAGGAACCGGGGAACACAAAAGTGAATAAGATACAGTCTTTTCCTTCAGCAAGATCACTGTCTAATAAGATGAACATATGCATGAATAACTGCAGCATGAGGTGCTACACACACTAAAATAAATGAACAAAATGCTCTAAGAGTCCAGGCAGCTGGACACATAGTACTTTGCTGTGTACGTATGCATCCTCCAGTTCATCTGGTCCTCACAATCCAAAGTTATTATCCCAGTTTTACAGAAAAAGAAGCTGAACCTGAAGAACAAATAGGTTTTGGGTTTTGCCTAAGATAGCACAAGTCTCTTAAAATACTCACTCTGCAGGGTTGGGCTGCACCAGGAAAACAGAGGGCCAGGGAATGTCTGAACGAGGCCACGTGTTCTGTAGTCACCAAGGCTCCTTGCTCTGTAGAGACCGTGACCCCATTTCCCAAAGCAACCTCATTATGTGCCCTTGCCAGGTTTCTTTTCTATGAATGAGTCTTGTTCTCCCAACCATATGGTTAGTCTACTGGGAAAAGAGACCTTGTCATATTTCACAGTGTTTCTTTCCATGCCTTGCTAAAGTAAGGTATCAGTTAGCTATTTTGTTGGTAGAAAGTTGCCATTGCTAGTTATTTTATCCTGCTGTGTTATATTGTCAGGCAGCCTTGGCCCTAGGAAACACTATGATAGGAGAGGCAGGTGAATCTTTTCCCAGGAGACAGAATGCACCAATAGGCACGTAGGGCACTTCTGATGATTTCTGCAGTGAAGAGAGACAGGTAGAAAATGTAAGGCATGCAAGGGAAAGCAGAAGTAGGTTGAAAAGCCCATTCTTGCCAGACATGGGAATGAAAAGTAGAAAGAAGAAATAGCTTTAGCTGAGAATTCTGCCTGAGCTCCGAGGGCTTTGAGATGCAGGTAGCAGATCCTGCCCATGGCTTAGGGACTGAAGAGGATGGGAAAGTCAAAACCATTCATGACATCAGAATCTCCATTTTCTTTTCCTCTTCAGAGTCAACAAACGTTATAACACCTCACAATGCTTTCTGGGGGTGGGATCGTTATCTCCTTTCACCGGTGAAGATGAGGTTCAAGAACTCAGTGAGGTTAAGTCACTTGCCCAAGGTCACAGAGGGCAGTCAGGTTGCGAATCCCAGAAACTCCGGCGGTTCTGGCTGCAGGAAAGTGGGCAGGTGGCTATGGCGAGGGCCGGCTAATAGTGACGGTGCTGATGACGGGGCCACTGACCAGCGGGCAGCCTGCGAAACGCGACAGATTCCGGGGGTCGGCCCTCGCAGGCAGACTGTGGGGTTCGGCTCTGCGGAGCAACCTAAGGGATCGACAACCTGGGGCTCAGACTGTGCAGCTCCCGGTCCTCGGCCGCCCGCGGGCGTTGGCGAAGGCCAGCCGTCCAGGCTGCGGACCATCAGGCCTCGTGCGGCTGCAAGCCGTTCCTGGGGGACGGCCCAGAGCCAGGCAGTCGGCCGGAGCCTTCAGAGAGGCGGGGCGGGGAGGGCACCGGCGAAGGCTGGCTGCAGCCAGTCCGGAAAAACAGCCTCTACAGCACCCGGCCCAAGTCAGAACACCTTAGAGACAGGCGCCCCCACGACGCAGGTGCAGGAGAGACACATCCTGGCACCGCGCCTTGCATCCCAACGGCGGAGTTCGGGAGCTCCGAGTGTCGGCACAAAGCCGGGAGAGAAGGGTTTAAGCTCGGGTCGCTGCTGCTCACTCACGCGGGACAGGTGAGGGACTCTGGCACGCCCCGGGGAGGGGACTCGCCCTGGCCCCACCCCTCCGGGCCGCCTACCTTTTGGGGGCGTGGCGTCTGGGCCGCCCCGCTCCTAGTGGGCGGTCGGAGCTCGCGGGCCCGCCCCCCGCCTATAAGAGCGGTGCGGCACTGCAGCTAGCGCAGTTCTCACTGAGACCCGTCACCCGGACTCTACGTGAGACCCACCGCCCGGACTCACCATGGTGAGTGCGGCCCTGCAGGCATCTCGCCCGTCCCCTAAGTTCTCCTCTTCTTCGGGGAACCTCCCGCTAGGTCCGCTCAGGGCCTTCTATCTGGAGTTTCAGGTCTCGAGGTGTTGGGGGGGGTTGCCTTCCCCCACCTCCTCCCGGTGACTTTGGCTGGGCCAAGTTGTCCACTTTCGGATGCTGGGGAGGGTAGTGAAGCGGGGTGGGAATCTTCAGTAGTAGAGAGGAGTCCTCCTGGAATCCCCTCCTGCTCCACCAAGAATTTGTGTCCTAACCTTCCTGAGGGAAGTCACGCGGTCCCGCGGCCCGTCCTTTCCGCGGTCGAGGGAGACCCCGCTTGGCTGCCCTCCGCCCTTAGCCTCCCCCTCACTCCCGGGTCCTTGGAACTGACCAAACACGCGCTTGGTGCAAGAAGGTGGGAAGGGGTCAGATCAATTGGTTCAGCATCCCCCTTTCCTCCGACTGTGGGCCCATCCCTTCTACCCACAGCACCCCCCCGCCGTGACTCAGCACCCCTCTTTTGATCCTCGAGGGGTGGCGAGAGTGGGGTTCGGCCTAGTGAGGCGAGCCGGAATCTCTCCAGCCAGAGTCCGCGTGCACGGACGGGCAGAGACAGCTGGCGCTGAGCGAGAGCGCGGGCCGAGGCCAGGTTGGGGGGAGGGGAAAGAGGTGTGTGTAGGGGGTGGTATTTATAGCCCAGGGACGGGGGCCGAAATCCAATCCTCGCTTTCCACTGGGATGGACCTGGAAAGAATCTAGAAGGGGCGAATACGGGGCCAGAGCGCAGGATGGCGCTCACCCCGCCCAGGGCAAGGCAGGTTACCTTCGGGGCCTCACCGCAGGTTCCGCTTCCTTTTCTGGGTGTTTGCAAACCGTCACCCCGCCATTTCGGTGTCGAAAAGGGAGGCCGCACCGGCCCTGCTCTGCACCACTTTGGCTCTTCAGAGGTTAATTCCAGACTGGCAGGGATGAGCCTAGGGCAGCGAGTGCCCTAGTGCCCACAACCCTTACTGCCGGCGCCTGTCGTTTTTTGCTCTCTGCAGTTTCCCTGAGGGCACAGCAGTGGGTGAACGTGGTGAAGATACCCAGGGTGTGGGGGTAGAAGTGGGGAGAGCAGCCAGATGGGATTGATCCCCAGAGCCAGATGGGATTTAAAGGTGGGGAGGGCCAGGGCATCCTGCTGGCCAGTGTGGTCAGTTGATGCCCGACTGGAAGGCTGAGACACCTCTACAGTTCGCAAGGATGAAAGGGTGAGAGGGTTATATGATATTCTAGTTGTTCATCCTCAAAGCAAAGAATTAATCAAGGGCGGACATCTAGCTATAAATTTGTAGCTCTGGAAAACCTTCTGTCCCTTCTCAGGCTCTTGAGAAGCTGATCTGTGGGAGTAAGGATTGGGAACAGCTGAAAAAAGTGCTTGTCCTTGTCTCAGCGACTGCAGTGTCTGCCTGTCTCATATGCACTTGACCTCTCCGTCCTGCCTGAGTGTCCTGTGAATGTGGCAGGGTCATATGGAGCCACAGCTCTTACTTGACAAGGTCCCCATGGAGAAGTAGACTGAGGGATCTGGCCAGCCCTACTGGGTGCCTCTAGTTGGGAAGTCCTATGCAGGAGAGCCTGGGCAGGATGCCAGCCTCTTTGACCTCTGCTCAGGCCCTTTTGCCAACTGAGTCATCCTAACTGGTAGGTGATAGGGTGGGAGAGAGGCTCATGAGGTAAGGACTTATGTATGTGGGGCTTATGCCATGTCCCCTCTCTTTCCCCTTCAGCGTGAATGCATCTCAGTCCATGTGGGGCAGGCAGGTGTCCAGATGGGCAATGCCTGCTGGGAGCTCTACTGTCTGGAACATGGAATTCAGCCGGATGGACAGATGCCCAGTGACAAGACCATTGGTGGAGGGGACGACTCCTTCACCACCTTCTTCTGTGAAACTGGTGCTGGAAAACATGTGCCCCGGGCAGTTTTTGTGGATTTGGAGCCTACTGTAATTGGTGAGCAGAGGAAGAGAGGGTGGAATTGAGGGGCTGGAAAGTGACTCTAAGCTTCTATCTGGAGAGAGGATGTCTAGACCTGGCTTTCCTGGTCCTGAAAACCCCTTGCCCTGCTGGAAGCTAAAGAAGGGAGGCTGATCGCGGACTGGGCTGGGCAGCAGGTCTTGGTTTCCCCTACACACTGCTATCTCAGGCTGGCAGGAGGATGAATGCTTCCATATATCTGACCACAGCCACCAGGCTGAGGGAGGGAGGTCTGTGCTGAGCACAGCCTTGTGGTTTTTGCCCTAACAATGTGGTGTATGACTTTTCAGATGAGATCCGAAATGGCCCATACCGGCAACTCTTCCACCCCGAGCAGCTCATCACTGGGAAAGAGGATGCTGCTAACAACTATGCTCGTGGTCACTACACCATTGGCAAGGAAATCATTGACCCAGTACTGGACCGGATCCGCAAGCTGGTGAGAATTGGGGGTAGAAGGAAGGAAGTTTTTGAAATGATGCTAATGGTCAGAAACATTTTTTTCCAAATCCATTTCATAGAGTCATCTCTAATTGTACATGTCTCAGAGCGTGCTGTGGGTGTGGGATACTCATTAGTCTGCCTTAACACCTGAGAAATTTTAGGCTTTTGTGAAGCTAGAACATATGAAATCCTCAGGCCCTTTCCCCACCCACATTGCTCTTTTCCTTCTTGCCTTTCAGTCTGATCAGTGCACAGGACTTCAGGGTTTCCTGGTGTTCCACAGCTTTGGAGGGGGCACCGGCTCTGGCTTCACCTCACTGCTGATGGAGCGGCTCTCTGTTGATTATGGCAAGAAATCCAAGCTGGAGTTCTCCATCTACCCAGCCCCCCAGGTGTCCACGGCCGTGGTCGAGCCCTACAACTCCATCCTGACCACCCACACCACCCTGGAGCACTCAGATTGTGCCTTCATGGTGGACAACGAGGCCATCTACGACATCTGTCGCCGCAACCTGGACATCGAGCGCCCGACTTACACCAACCTCAACCGCCTCATCAGCCAGATCGTCTCCTCCATCACAGCCTCCCTGCGCTTTGACGGTGCCCTCAACGTGGACCTGACGGAGTTCCAGACGAACCTGGTGCCCTACCCTCGCATCCACTTCCCCCTGGCCACCTATGCACCAGTCATCTCTGCAGAGAAGGCCTACCACGAGCAGCTGTCGGTGGCAGAGATCACCAACGCCTGCTTTGAGCCTGCCAACCAGATGGTGAAGTGTGATCCCCGCCACGGCAAGTACATGGCCTGCTGCCTGCTGTACCGTGGAGATGTGGTACCCAAGGACGTCAACGCCGCCATTGCTGCCATCAAGACCAAGCGCAGTATTCAGTTCGTGGACTGGTGCCCCACAGGTTTCAAGGTCGGTATCAACTACCAGCCCCCCACTGTGGTGCCCGGGGGTGACCTGGCCAAGGTGCAGCGTGCCGTGTGCATGCTGAGCAACACGACCGCCATCGCTGAGGCCTGGGCCCGCCTGGACCACAAGTTCGACCTGATGTATGCCAAGAGGGCGTTTGTGCACTGGTACGTGGGCGAGGGCATGGAGGAGGGTGAGTTCTCCGAGGCCCGGGAGGATATGGCTGCCCTGGAGAAGGATTACGAGGAAGTGGGCATCGACTCCTATGAAGACGAGGATGAGGGAGAAGAATAGAACCGCTGCCTGGAGCCCACTCACTATGTTTATTGCAAAATCCTTTCGAAATAAACAGTCTCCTTGCACGGTTTCTCGTCCCCTCTGTGAGTGCTTGAGCTTTGCTGCCTTCCCCTTTTGTGCTGCTGCTGCTGCTGCTGTTTCTGCTGCCGCCCTCACTATGTGCTGCTCATGACTTTTTCCTTCCGTGGCTGAAGGTTAGACCTGCCAAGGGGCCCTTGTCAGGCCCAGGAAACATGACCCCATGTATCATCCTAGGAGTGCCCAGGATAGGGGGGAGATGAGGACCGGATCTTGGACCTGTCCAACATGAGCCATTAAAGGATCTGAGGCTTCACTTCTTTCCAAGTAGGAGTTTAAGCCCAGCAGTTTCTGTATTTGAGTTAGACTGCTACCCTATTCTTCCCACTGCTCTGCATTCACCGACACTGGAAGCAAAGCTTGGCCCAGGCACCTCTGTGTTTTAAGGGCTTGGGAGTGGGGCTGAGCAGGCCCAGAGTTCCTGGGCATGGAGCCTAGTCATAAGCTTGGGGGCTGGGAGGGAACAAGGGCGATCTCCTAGAGTTGTGTCAGTGCACCTCCCAGCAGCTTTGCAAAGCTTACTTTTGGTCTTGCTGTTTTGCTGGGGCCTTGGGTTGTGCCATTAAAAGTCAGGTCATCTCCCCTCTGTTTGTGCTTTCTTTCTGGCCTCAGCTTCTGTGCTAGATGGTGGGAGCCTCCTGCCAGGGCCCTGGGGAAAACTTCAAGGTTGCTAATAGGCACCCCAGGAACCACACTGACTTCAGCAGTTGGAGGGTGGGCACAGTTGGGGGGGGGGAGGAGCATCACTCTCAGGAGCAGGAGATGCCAACCCTGCCCTTCCCTCCCCTCCCTGGTGATTTAGGGACGCAGTGCCCTTCCTGAGGGAACAGGTTTCCAGCCCAGCAAAGGCAGGGCCCCTGTTTACTCAGCAGTGGAGGCAGGAAGTGGCAGCTGGATACTGCCACACCACACAGGCCCCATTAATCATTAACCATGTGTGAACCAGAACCATCTCTGAGAGATTCTGGGCTAAAATGTCCACCACTTCCACTCCCCTTGCCCCCAGGCAGAGGCTGGAAGCCAGTTGTGTGGTTGTCCCGAAGCTTCCTCAGGTATCTCCACCCAGAAGCCCTTCCTGGAAAACCAGCTGGGCTGCTCTGACTAACCTACCCAGCCAAGGGAATGAAGAAAGAATGAGATGAGGGTGCTTTAAGGGGGCCCTTGGCCCAGTTCTTGGCATAGAAACCAGCTCAGGCCAGAGCAGTTTGAAGTTTTTGACTAAGACAAGCTAGGAGAAGAAGTGCCCATTCCCCCACCAACCAGATCTAAGGTAGGGATACCTGCCTCCAGTCACGCCACTCCTGAGGCTTCACCAGTCCCTCTTCTCTCCAGGCTCTCCCCCAGAAAAGGCAGCCAGCCTTTGGGCGCCCTGCACCTCCTCTCACTCCAGGAACAATGAGACTAAGATCACACCAAGCTGCTTTCACTTTATTCTTGTTTTATACATTCTCCTGCCCCTAGATTTGGAGGCAGATCATGATGTACGCTCAGCAGTCCTGCTCAGAGCCTTGACTATATTCTATCAGTTCCCCTCTCCCCATCCCCCACCCTCCCCCACTCCCACCTAGGCAGGCCTCCAGTCCAGTTACTGCTCTTGGGGGTGAGAGAGCAGAATCAGAGACAGAAGGCCAAGCAAACTGCCCCAGCCCCTAGCTGCCCCCAGTGACAAGGGCACGGTCCTGGACTGAATGGATGGAGATTCTACTGAGGGAGGGTGGCTCCTTGCCAAGGCACGGGGGCCACCTTCTCAATGTGGCCACAGGTTTGTTCAGATATGGGTAGTGTGCTCATCCCGAGCCGGGGTCTGCAGCACCTCCAACTGACTCAGGAGCAGAGGAATGTGAGGGCGCTGCTGGGGGTCCACGGTCATCATTGAGGTCAGCAGCTGCCGCAAGGCTGAAGAATGCCTGCAGAAGGAGGAGGGGAGGGTGAGGAGGGCGGCCGCCCCCTGTGCTCTGACCCCTGCAAACGGAAGGGAGGAGCCTGAAGTGCCCCTGCTCCTTTCAGAGCTCACCTGGGACTCTGTGGGATGCTGAGCTGGTTCTGCACTGCAAGGGCCACGCTGTCACCCTTCTGGAACACCATATCGTAAGGGCCTTCCCCAAACATCATGGCATATAGCACACAGCCTAGGGACTGAGCATAACTTGGTTATTCCTTGGAAGGGGACCAATGGAGTCATCTTCATTCTGTAGTGAAAGGAGACTACAGTATGCCAACTTCAGTCACGTGACACCACCAGGGCCCCAGAGAAACTGCCAGTTAGCTGGAGGCCTCTGCGTCTTGCGCTGAGCTGCTGCCTCCAGCCCTGACATTTAGTTATACTTATCCTGCTCAAAGGGCAAGATTATACCACTTCCTGAGCAACTGAGTAATGTCAGTGACAGTTCCCAGGAAGGAAGTTGAGGGGGGATGGGGACATACATGCTTCCTGGGGCCCCATGCACTGGAAACCAAAGACTTGCTCCTCCAGTTCACAGCAGCCACAGAGCAGCACTCCTTCCCTCCCACATTCCCACCCACATGCTCCTCACCCAGACATCAGTCCGCTCATCGATGACACAGTGGCTCTGCACAGAAAAGAGCTCCGGGGCCCGGTAGGAGATGGTGCACCGCTGGGCTGCCCAGTCCTGGAACAGTGGCCCCAGAGCTCAGAAGCAGGGCACAGGTCTTGGTCATGTGACCAAACCGGGGCATGCACCAGAAGGGGTTGAGGATGGGGAAGAGGTGGGCAAAGGACTCTGGAAACTTTTACCTGGAGGGCCAGAGCCTGGCGGGAGCCCTCCACATGGATGCATGCTTGATTCATGGACCCCAAGTCCATTAGAACCGGCTGCCCCTCATCGCCAAGCAAGATATTGGTCGGTTTCAGGTCCCTGCGGGGAAGTAGAAATGACCCATGAGCATCCCTGAACCAGAAGGCCGGGATCCTAGAGGGGTAAAAGAATCACAGGGACTATTCCTGGAGAAGAGCACAGAGATCTCTCATTTCTCTTGATGAGGCTCTTCCTTTCTGTCCAGCAAGTACATGGAGCCTCCCACTGACCTGTGGGCATAACCCTTGGAGTGAATAGCCTCAAGGCCTCTGCAGATACCCAGCAGCAGCCGAATGATTTGCTCTTCAGTCAAAAAGTTGCCTTTGTCCTTCAGCTTTTCTATCTCGTTCCACAGCGTACCTTTCTGCAAAACAAGTTTCCCCGCAGTTGATGTTTTTAGCCTCCACTCCCTGACCTGATTCTTTCCCTATGTCAGAGTCTATAGTAATTTCACCACACACCCAACACCCCAGGTGGGTTCCTTAAACCCCAAATCTGAAATGCTCAAACCAGAACATGACCTCTGCTTCCTAATGTGCATGACTGCTCATAATAGCCCTTGGCCCACACGGCTCTGTTGCAACCCCCTCCATAGCCAGGAGACTTTCTGACCTTGAAGAAGGGTAGCAGCAGCCAGGCCTCATGTTTAGTGCCTCGCTCTCTCAGACAATAAGCCACGAGGCGAAGGATGTTGGGGTGATGGAAGAGGCGATGCATGTCTGCTTCTCGTTGGGCCTCCTCCCGGTCCTGCTGCTCATGACACAGGATTCGCTTCAGGGCGTAGAACTGTCCATCATGCAACCCCTCCACTAGGTCCACAAAGCTGAACCCACTGTGGGCCAAAGAGGTCAGTGAAGGACCAAGGTCATCTCCCATACTGCTGGGATCCAGAGGAATTCCCTGGGGAGAAGTGCGGGGGTGGGGTGGGGTGGGAGGTGTCTTTCCCATTTACTAGCACCACTCCCAAGGTGTGACACTAAAAAGAAGTCTGAAGATTATTAACATAGAGCAAGGACAGTCACTTCCTAGGTCCTATGGTCTTAATGCAGGGCTTCAATAAATATTAAATAAATAACAGCCAACCTTTATCAAGTGCTATGAATCAGGCAGTAGGGGAGACACTTGATACGAATTATCTCATTTAGTTCTCACAGCCCCGCCATTGAAGCACAATTAGCTCTAATAAGCAGATAAGGCAACTAGGGCTTATCAAGGCCATACATGGTGAATCTAGGAAGACTGGTTCCACAATCCACTTTCTTGATCACCAAGGAGCTGGGCTCTGTCCGGTGAATTAGAGGCTCTGTGTCCCTATCCTGTGCTGACAGCTGTCCTTCAAAAACCACAACTCTTGGGACTAAATGATTTCCAAAACACTCACCCCTCCCCCAGTTTATGGATGAAGAGGTAGCGCTTATGGTCAATGGTGACAGTTCCCCGAGAGCAGATGCAAAGCGCGTGGCCCATACTGTCTCAGTCATCCTCCTCAAGGACGGTCTGAAGCTGCCAAAGCGTTCGTCCAGGTCGAGTGGTCTTTTTCAGGCAAGTTGCTGGGGCTCCAGCAGATCATGCTGGAAGGAAAAGAATAGCAGGGGTACAATCCAGAAGACCCCCTAAAGGCCCAACGTGAGCGCTCAGGCCCAGGTCTCCGAACCTAGAGAAAATAAGCCCTGGCAATGCCCGCTCCAAGAAGGCTGGGGTCAGGTGCCTTAAAAAGCCCCAGGCCCCGCGGCGACTCCCAGGGCACTTCCTCCAACCCCGGCCCACCTTCAGGCGGCCCCTCACTCGCACACCCCATTGGGCTGCAGAGGCAGGGCACGGGGTAGTTCCGGGGAGAAGTGCGAGGCCCGGACCAACCACTTGCAGAGCCCACTCCAGGTCTCGGTCTGGGTGGGCCAGCCAGGATACAGCACTCACCCGGCTTTAGCAGAAGGGAAGCGCCAGGGACCGGAAGTGGTAGTTACGTCATCAGTCTGCGCCGCTGTAACGGCCCGCAGTATCCTAGCAACCGCTGAGCACTAGGACGATGTGGGGGCGTGGAGCTGAGAGGCCGGGGGCGGGTTAGGCCTGGGGGAGGACGGGTCCCAGGACCCGGGTGAGGGTTCCACACCTGGCCTGCAGTGGGTGTCAAGACGCAAGCACCTACGTCAAAAGGGAGCAAAGCCGGGCTCGGCCCGAGGCCCCCAGGTCCTGCATCTCCCAATGCCAGAGGTAGGAGCGTCATGCCTCCCGTGCACCGGGTGGCCGACTGGGGTCCAGCCCGGAAGTGGATGCTCAGAGCGGGCGGGTGCTGGCAGCCTGGACCCCTTTGCAGCTCTGATCAGTACAACCTTGGGGGCTCTGGCCTGTATCCTATTACCGTAGTCTCAGTAGTTAAGAGCTCAAGCTCTTGAACTAGACTAGGGTCTGAATCTTAATAGCCTGGACAAGTTACTTAACCTCTAGGAACCTCACTTTCCCTAACTGTAAAATAGGTGTAAGAGTACCTAAAGTTAAATGCATGAACTCTGAGGCCAGACTGCCTCATTCAAATCCCAGCTCTACTAAACTAGTTATGTGACCTTGTTAACAGGCTAATATTTCTATCCTTCAATCACCTCATCTGTAAAATGGAGATTATTATCTACTTCATGGAGTTGTTTGAAGATTAAATGAGAGGTGAAGTGCTTACTATAGCGTTTGATGCATAGCCCTGAGTAGTGTCCATAAGCAGAAGTAATAATAGTAACTATTATTATTACCCTGGTCTTCACATCCCAGGCTTAGGACTGTGAAGGCAGTGAGTGATGAAAATTCACAAATTCCCAAACCTCAGAACCTTGATGTCTCTTGCCCAGGCAGGGGTAAATTGGAAAGGGGCGCACATCCAAAGACGATAGGATGGCCTAGATGGTCTCTTTTGTTGAAACAGGACAGGATTCTCTAGGAAGAAGATTGCTCTTGTAACCTGATCCCCATCCCAACTCCCACTCCCCTTTCATATACTGAGAAGATATCCTCTGGTTTCCCTTGGGTCTGAACCTGGATCTGGCATTCATCTAGATTTAACCTGCTGTGTACTGGACCCTGTGATAGCAGCAGAGGACTCAGGATAGACAAGGCTCTCCCCATCCTCAGGGGCTCAATGTAACAGAGAACTACTTCTCAATCCTGAATGTGCTCAGGGCACCCGGAAATCTTGTTAAAATACAAATTCTGATTCTACAGGTCTGAGGTAGGGTCTGAGACTCTGCATTTCTAACAAGCTCCCAGGTAATGTTGATGAAGCTGGTTCATGAACCAGTAGCAAGATGTAGAGGATTTTACAAACTAGTAGAGTAGCAGATAGCTGCAGGCTGGAGACAAAGTCCAGGCTAATCGCCTGGCAACTTGCGGTGGTCTCCGCCCACTTGCTCGCTGAGGTTCCCTCCCAGGAATCTGCCACGTGACGGTCGGACCAGTGTCTCTGACTGGAAGAGCCCCGAAAGCGCCATGGCTCCCAAGAACCCTCTCTGCCTTCCCTCCCTGCTGCTCCCGCTCCTGACGCTGCTGCTGCCCCAGGTAAGACGGGAGAATCGAACCAGCCGCTGGGTGCGGTGAGACAGGGTCAGATCTGGCGGAGGAGAGAGTGAAAGTGAAAACAACAAAATACTGGGAAGGACTAGTTTCATCTCCTCTGCTCTTGGCAGATGCTGACCCCGGACTCAAGCCCACTGTGAGCATTTTCTCTCCCCTTACAGGCAGACACTCGGTCGTTCGTAGTGGATCGGGACCATAACAGATTCCTCCTGGACGGGACCCCGTTCCGCTACGTGTCTGGCAGCCTGCACTACTTTCGGGTACCGCGGGTACTTTGGGCAGACCGGCTTTTCAAGATGCGAATGAGTGGCCTCAACGTAGTACAGTTGTAAGAAGTGCTCGTGAGAGCCATGGAAGGGTGGGATTCACTCCTCCTACCATGCCGTTAATAAGGGGATCAGGACAGGAAGACCGACTGGGTATGAGGATTGTAGCTCCAGCGCTTCCCTGCCAAGGGTGGGAAAGGGGGAGGGCCAGGACCTCCTTCCCACAGCTTCCTGGAGATTCCTGCAGGCCTGAGCCCCTTGGCCTCCCTGGCTTCTCCCTGTCTTGGGCCCTGTTAACCTCTTCCTTTTTCAGTTATGTGCCCTGGAACTACCATGAGCCAGAGCCTGGGGTCTATAACTTTAATGGCAGCCGTGACCTCTTTGCATTTCTGAAAGAGGCAACTTTAGCCAACCTGTTGGTCATACTGAGACCAGGACCTTACATCTGTGCAGAGTGGGAGATGGTGAGTTAGTTGGAGAAGGAATAGAAGCAAAGCTTCCCATGTGCTCCCACTCTAGGGCCACTTCCATCACTACCCTCAACTCCCTCCCTTCTTACCTACCCTATTCCAGTCTCAGACAACAAAGTCCACTCACTTTTTTGTTGTCTTTATGTTTGTCTCAGGGGGGTCTCCCAGCCTGGTTGCTTCGAAAACCTAAAATTCATCTGAGAACCTCAGATCCAGGTGGGTAGAGAAAATAGACTGGACTCAGAAAAAAGCAAACAACAACAAAATGGGTCATTTGGGTACCCAAAACAGAGATCATTCATTCAAATTATTTACTGTTTTAATCATGCCCAGCAGCACGCGGGGAACTGGGGGACCAGACAGATTCAGTGTGGAAGACACATTAGTTTAAAAAAAACACACACCCAAAACCTATATAAGATTATTTTTAAAATACTACACAAGAAAATGGACAAGGAGTTGAGATAGTGAATAACAGGGCCTCTTTTAGGTAGGAAAGCCAGAAAAGGCTTTTCTGAGATGACATTTCAGTTACTCTAGGAAAAGGAAAGCACTGGTCATATGAAGAGTGAAGTCAGAATGACCAGGTAGATGGAATGGTATACTTTTCTGGGGGGAGGGCTGTGCTGTGAGTCTTGTGGGATCATGGTTCAGATAGATGAGGGATTGAACCTGGCCCCTTGGCAGTGAAAGCTCGGAGTCCTAACTACTAGACCACAGGGAATTCCCCAGGTATGGTGTGTTTTAAGGCCCAGAGGTAGGACAGAACACTGGCATGAGTGAGGCCAGCATGGATGGAGCACAGCGGGTAAAGGAGGGTAGTATGAGAAATTGGAGCAATATAGTGAGTGTTAATGCAGGACCACTGTAAGAGGTTTGCCTTTTATTATAAGCACAACAGAAAGTCATTGAAAGAGTTTAACCAAAATTATCTGATTTGTTTTCAGATTACATTAGCCTGGATGTGGAAAATGGATTGAGGGGAGCAAGGGTAGAGGTGGAGAAACTTAACTGGGAGACTGTGATCATAGTTGAGAGAGATGGCTCCTGGTTGTGATAGTAGTGGAAATGCAAAGAAGAGGGCAGAAATGAGCTATAGGTTGGAGGTAAAGGTCAACAGGACTCAACTGACAGATGTTGATGAGAAAGGGAGTGGTGGCGGAGGCGCGGGGGAACAGTGTGGGTAGGATGAGGAGAGAAAGGAATCAAGTGTCCAGCCAGTCAAGATGGTGGTGCCACTCACTGACTTAGGGAAGACAGAGAAGACTAGGGGTGGCAAAATATCAACATTTGGGGGAAAAACAATAGTTCTTGTCATGTTAAATTTTTATCATTCTAAGGGATGCGATTTAATGTATGCTTGGATTAAAGGAGGCAGTGCAACCTGGCCCTCCTTTATACAGAACACAAAATGTAAAGGAATTGAATGTTTTAAAAGTGTAAAGATAGCCTCTAAAATGTCTTTCATTGACTCCAGCTTTGAGAGTCTGCTATCTGCTAGGCATTGTCCTCAATGACAAGGATGCAGACAATGAGCCTGACAGACAAGGTTCCTGCTCACTAGTAGGGGAGACCGACCGGAAACAATTACAGACACACACACTTAATTTTAATTTCTTAAGCACTTGAAAAGGGAGTATGAGGTGATGTGAAAGAGTGTAACAGGGGGAATCTACCCTCATCTAGGATATCAGAGGTTTTCTTGGGGAAGTGAAATGCAAGTTGAGACCTGAAGCCTGAGTTGGAGTTGCCTAGGTAAGGAGGCAGAGGTCATGCATGAAGACCCTGAGGGTGAGTCAACAAAAATCACCAACAGGAGTTGAGAACTAAAGGCATGCCACCTCATATAATGATCTTTCATTTGCTGACTTAAATGTCCTGAACTGGCAGTTCCATCAGGGTGCAGGTCAGATATTCTACAATTTTGTGAATTCCCATGCTACTTCATACCTGAGTCTGGTGGGAGCCTGTAACCCCTAGAGTCCATGGGGTCACAAAGAGTCAGACGCGACGGAGCACACATGCGTGCACGCTACTTCATAGCGATCTCAAGTGTATATTATATATGGTTATGTAATAGCTCTATGTGATGTGTTTTAACATTTTTTTCCTGATATTTAAAAAATGAATTCTCACTTCTTTGTGTCCTGTGCTCAAACTTCATTGCCATGCAAATATTCAAGTGCTTAGGGTTCAGAGTTTCCTCTGACAGGTCACTGCTTCCCAGACGGAGTTATGGACAAGTGGGATGACTCAGAGTGCTTCCCCGAGCTGAGGTGGCACTCAGGATGCTAGCACTGATGCTAGGGGTGGGGGCCGAGGAGGTGGCAGTGCCCTAACGAGCAGAGCACTGCTCCTTCCTCTAGACTTCCTTGCCGCAGTGGACTCCTGGTTCAAGGTCTTGCTGCCCAGGATATATCCATGGCTCTACCACAATGGGGGCAACATCATTAGCATTCAGGTACCAGTGGCAAGTTGACTGGGCTAGGGGAAGGAGGTGCCAGTGCCCTTAATTTCTCCACCTCAGAGCTGACCTCCACTTTTCCTTTCCCCGGGCAGGTGGAGAATGAATATGGTAGCTACAGAGCCTGCGACGTGAGCTACATGAGGCACCTAGCTGGGCTCTTCCGAGCGCTGCTGGGAGACAAGATCTTGCTCTTCACCACAGATGGGCCTGAAGGACTCAAATGTGGCTCCCTCCAGGGACTCTATACCACTGTAGATTTTGGCCCAGGTCTCCCAAGCAAGGGTTCAGAATGAAGTCTGGGGAAGGGGCACCTGTTTCATGTTGCTTACCTTGCACCTTTGCTTCCTTTCTGCAGCTGACAACATGACCAAGATCTTTGGCCTGCTTCGGAAGTATGAACCCCGTGGGCCCCTGGTGAGGAGCCAGAGGGGAGGCCAATCAAAGCAAGAGGCAGTGTGGGGAATGAGTGGCGCTCAGGTCCCATTTTGCTCACAGGTCCTTTCACTTCATGCTCTAGGTGAACTCTGAGTACTACACAGGCTGGCTGGATTACTGGGGCCAGAATCACTCCACACGCTCCGTTCCAGCTGTAACCAAAGGACTAGAGAAAATGCTCAAGTTGGGAGCCAGTGTGAACATGTAACTGGAGGCATTGGGGCCAACATAAAATCTGTAACTGCGTGTTGGGGATGAAGATTAAGATTCAGTGGGTCAGCTTCTACCTTTCCCCCCACTCTTCCCCACTTCAGGTACATGTTCCATGGAGGTACCAACTTTGGATACTGGAATGGTGAGTCTAGACGGTCTCTGGGGTGGAGGCAGGGAGGCAGCAAGGAATTAAAGAGTCTGAGGAATATATGGATTAGGATGTCTAGAAGCTGGATATGGCTACCACCGCCCCTTCTGAGAGCAAAATTCTCTGCATGAATTTCTTTGCTTAGTGCCTATCATCTGAAAGATGCATTGAATTAATTAAATTGGTTTGACTAGGTGCTGATGAGAAGGGACGCTTTCTTCCAATTACTACCAGCTATGACTACGACGCACCCATATCCGAAGCTGGGGACCCCACACCCAAGCTTCTTGCTATTCGAAATGTCATCAGCAAGGTGCCCTACCACTTCATTAAGTGCCAAAGGCTTTTACGAATTTAGGGGGAGGGGTGCCCCTAAGGCAGTGATTGTTGTCTGAACCACAAAACCCTCTGAGCAGCCTATTGCAGCATTTCTCACTTATTCAGGTGGGACTTCCTGGGGAGATACAAATACATACCATATTAGAGAATCTTCATGACCCCTGAAGTCCTTCCCTGGACCCCGGGTTAAGAACCCTGCACTAGGGTGCTGGAATAGGGTTTCTTTGTGTGCTTTTCCTATGGCTCCTGAGAGAATTTGGGCTCAGTTCCAGGAAGTTCCCTTGGGACCTTTACCTCCCCCCAGCCCCAAGATGAAGCTTGGACCTTTGACCCTACACCTGGTAAGCTCCTCCCCATTATTCTCCGTTTCTGCCCAGCCTGTCCTGCCCTCTATTCTGAAAGTTCCCTTGTATTCTGATCCTTTCCCCTTATTCTAACAGGATGGGAATTTGCTGGATTTCTTAGACTTGCTATGCCCCCAAGGGCCCATTCATTCAATCTTGCCAATGACCTTTGAGGCTGTCAACCAGGTAAAGCTTAATCCACCAACAGCTCTACCAAGGGTCCCCTCAGTTCTGCATCTTCCCCACAGTATCCTTTCTTGCCTCTCAGTACATCTCATTTACTCGTTCTTCCACACCTAGGTCCATGGCTATATGTTGTATCGGACCTATCTGACCTATACTGTTTCTGAGCCAACACAACTCTGGGTGCCAAACAACGGAGTCCATGACCGTGCTTACGTGATGGTGGATGGGGTGAGAACCTAATTCCAGGCTAGCTTGTCAGCCCATTTCCTTTCCTCCCCAGCAAAGTTTCTGGTATCTACCTTTTCCCACTGCCTGCTCACATTTGCAGAGGATAAGCTGGGATGAGGAAGAGTTTGACAAAGGATAAGGTTCTAGAAGGAACTGACAGAAGGGCTACATTCTCTTTGCCCTCTAAATAATAGTGCCCCAATGTAGCTTCCTGGGTGGTGGCCACAAGCTAGATGCTGAGCCACTCCCTTTCACAGATACTCTCATCCACAGGTGTTTCAGGGTGTTTTGGAACGAAACATGAAACATAACGTATTTTTGATGGGGAAAGTAGGGGACAAACTGGATGTCCTGCTGGAGAACATGGGGAGGCTCAGTTTTGGGTCTAACAGCAGTGACTTCAAGGTGAGCTCGCTTTGCCCAGTCCCTCGCCCCTATACTCTTCTTTACTGAACTCCCTAGAAAAGATAAGAGCCTAAAGGAAGAGCTACAGCCTTAGGGCTTAGAGAGCAAAGCAGCAGCTGGTGGGGGATCTGGACATGGCCACTAGGTGCATCCCAGGGCTTGAGTAGCAGCAGTCTGGCCTTAGAACTTAGTGAATGATGAATTTTCATTTGCCTTCTTCACAGGGCCTGTTACAGCCGCCAATTCTGGGGCAGACAGTCCTTACCCAGTGGATGATGTTCCCCCTGAAAGTTGATAATCTTGTCAAATGGTGGTTTCCCATCCAGCCACTGAAAAGCTCACATCCTCAGGCCCCCTCTGGCCCCACCTTCTACTCTACCACCTTCCCAATTTTAAACTCAGGCGGGGACACATTTCTGTTTCTACCTGGATGGACGAAGGTATTGCTGATGGTGGGGGTGGGGTGAGGGGTAGGGTGGTAAGAGGGGAAAACCATGGAAGAAGGGAGAGCACAAATTATTCCTCTGATTAGGAACCCCCCCCACCCCCCAGCAAGGGGATAATTCTACCCCTCTGAGAGCTGATCCTTTCTTTTCCTCTACCCCCCAGGGCCAAGTCTGGATCAATGGGTTTAACCTGGGCCGCTACTGGACAAAGCGGGGGCCGCAGCAGACCCTCTATGTGCCAAGACCCCTGCTGTTTCCCAGGGGAACCCACAATAGAATCACGTTGCTGGAGCTAGAAAACGTGCCTCCTCAGCCCCAAATCCAGTTCCTGGACAGGCCCATCCTCAATAGCACGAAACACAGGACGTACATCTATTCCCTCTCAGGTGCCTCTGAGCCAATGGAGTTAAGTGGGCACTGAAGCAAAGGTAATCCGTGGACGTGGGACAAGTGCAGTGGGCAGGATCCCTTCATGCTAGCCATGCTGACCGTAAGGAAACAAAGGCCACAGGCCTGAATGGAAGTACGAGAGCAGTCTCCTTGCCAAACTTTATTGTGATTAAAGTTCCAGAGACAGTACCAGCTCCACACACCTCTGTGGCCCTGTGTTTGCCCTGGTTCCTGAACGTCCTTCACCCTAATCTTCCAAACACTCTCTGGTTTTGTGGGGGAAGCAGCAGCCTAGGGCCAGTGGGGATGTGCCCTCTCAGGGCCCAGCACTGGCCCCAGGTGGAGCAGTAAGAGATCAGGAAGAGGGCTTCCCAGCCCGACAGCGGTGATCCCGGAGGCAGCGTGTGGAGCAGAAGGAGAAGTCAAGGCAGTGAAAAGGAACAAGGCCTTGGAGAGACACCCCACAACTCCAGCAGCGCCTGAGTAAGAGGGAGAAATCGGCTGGAGAGGAGTCCCAGAAACGTTCCGTTCCAAGCCTTCCCCACCCACCCTCCTGTTACTTCTGTTTTCATTCCAGCGGTTCCCCAAACATCTCAAATCCCCTCAACAGCCTTTCTGAACACAGAGCAGCACTTGCTCTACTTGTCCAGAGTGGCCCCGCCCACATCACAGCCCACCCCCACACCTGCCCCCTCCACATACGGAATATTGCTGACGGTGACGGCAGGGTCAGAGGTCTGAGGGTTGGGGGCTGCCAACTGGGCAGCGAGTCGGCGCTCTGCAGCAAGAGCTCTCTGAGGGGAGGAGAAGCCGTGTTAAGCACAAGGCCTCAGTGGTGGAGAGTGTGTCCAGGAAGTGACGGCTGCACACCGGGGAAGCGATCAGACCTCTGGGGAAGTGTTGCTGTGGAAGGAAGAAGCCCCAGCCTCACCTTCTCCCGGTCACTGAGGGCAGCAAATCGCCGCTGCTCTTCTCGCTCCTGCTTCTCCTGCTCCTGCCGCTTCCTCTGCTGCTCCTCCCGGTGCCGCCGGGCTGCCTTCTGCTCCCTTCTCCGAGTGGCCTGCCGTGCCTCCATTTCTGCTGTTAGCGGCCCCGGCACCTGGAGGATTTCCAGGAAAGCTTAAGGTAAAGATCTGTACAAACTATCCTTGATAAGACTGTAGGAGAGTAGAAAAGATCTAGCCAGCATCTCTGATGCCTCCCCACTCTGCTGCTTCCTTCTTCAGCTGACCTGAGCTTTGCTGTAATCGTAAGCATCTGGATTCTTCTCCATGAACCTCCGGAACTCATTGCGTGTTGATCTGTCAGCTGCAACTGTATACGGTGGCCGAGCTTGGGAATCCCTAGGTGCGAAAACCCCCAAAACAGGTTCCGTTTGCCTGCTGCACCTCCCAATGTTGCCCAAGCAGACCAAGGGGAAATATTGTCAAGTAGGCAAGGCCAATATTAGCGTCCAGATCATCCTCTGTACCCTAGCAGGGATCGGCATGAGGACCTCACTTACTGCACAGTGGGGTCCGCACCTGCCTCCAGCAGCAGGCGAACCACTGAGCCTCTCCCAGCTGCAGCTGCTGCGTGCAGGAGAGTGAAGCCGCCGGAGCCCAAGGGGGCAGTGAGCAGAGGCAGAACTCCAGGGTCTAGGGGGCTGGCAGTGAGCCGGTCCTTCAGCATCCCCACATCTCCAGCTCTGCAAGCAGCTAGAAGCACATCCCAGAGCTCCGGCTGACCGGGGGACGTGGCCTCATCCCAGGGAGGCCCCAAAGGGGCTGACCCTGAAAGGGCCTCATCTTCCTTTGGTTGCTGGGAAAGAGTCATTTGTAGCCCAGACTCCAGGTCTTGCTTTCTCTCCCTCTTATTCCTTTTTCTCCTCCTTTGCTTGGGAAATACCTCAAACTCACGAAGATCCAGCGTTCCCAGTGTCACCTCTACTAGCTCCAACTCTACCTGGGAGCCATCCTCTCCCTCTGACTCTAATCCTAGGGAAAAAAAGTTGCTATGTTAGATCCATCTAAGGAATAAGCAGAGGGTAGAAGGGTGTGGGCTGCCCCAGATGCCTAAGAATGTACACAGCGAGATAATCCAGATCACTTGAAATAAAATTGTTTGTATTTTGTCACCCAAGATAAAATAGCATATCAAGAGCTGAAGCCATTAGTATCAATGTGAAGAAATGAGGCTCACAGCCCTAGTAAGGGCAGGCCCAGAAGAAGCTATTCAGGGACGAGAGTCCCTGGACATTCCCATGACAGCCTTAGGGTAGTCAGCAGAGGAGCCTGGAGCAGCTGACAACCATGCAGGTGACAGTCTGCAGCAGGGGAAGCAAGCCCTAGCTCCAAACCAGTGCGTCCAAGGAGGCAAGTAAATTATGTTAAGATCCACACAACACATGTCCAAGCATTGACTTCATGCTGACTTTTCTAAGAACTAGAGATACATCAGTAAACAAAAGAGATGATAGGAGATTTGGAAAAATCCCAAAACATATTTAAGTAATTGCTACCACATACTGAACAGATGTGTCTGTTTGCGGGGCGGCGGGGGGGTGGCAGTGGTGGGAGTATGTAAGGGCTTACTTATAAATAGGGAAGTGGATAAAGCTATGACAGTAGGGGATTTACCACTGCATTTCTAGGACAGACCCCCAGAGAGAGACCTGACAATTGCCAGATGGTGTACAAACCCTGTCTGGGAGCTTCCTCGTTCTGCCCGAGTGCTTCATTTTCATCACTGGGGACCTTTCTTTCTTCCTCGATAGCCTTCCTTTCTTTCACTCTCTTCCGGTGTGTCTGAGGTAAATCCAACTTGTCTGTCTCCCGGGGGTCTTCTCCTGCCATAAAACAAAGATGGTTCTTAAATTTAGCTGAGGAGAAGCCAGCTCAGGTTTCTGTCAATGGAAATGTCATCAGACTGCAGTCCGAGCACTAGAAAACCATCTGGATGCATGAATGAGAACCCCAGGCGTGGGTGGAACATTTGGGGCATATGGAGATCTAGAAAGAAAGCTCACCATAGACATATAACGTGGTCAGCTTATGGAGTACACGCTGTAGCTCTTGGAAGGTGGGTCTTCGGGTAGCGAGGGGGATATCCCAAAGTCGGGGATCACCCCGGCGCAGGGGAGCCTCACGGCCCCCGAAGAACAAGGACCGGCCAGAGCGGGGGGCACGCAGCAGTATCGTCCCAGCCTCCTCCAGTGCCTTAGCCCAATCTGGCCCTGCCAGCAGGTCACGAACTTCCTAGAGAAGACAGTGACTCAGCTCTGTAATTCTTCACTTGCTACTTTTAAACTTCCAACCAAAAACTGACCCACAGATGATGTACAGATGACGTGCAGGGAATGGGGGGTGGAGAATGAGAGGATTAAGACTCCTGGGCATCCACCCCATTCTACCTTCATCTACCCAGAAAGAACAAAGATAGTACACAGAAGCCAGCCTCCCTGCTGTACCATTTAATCAGTCAAGAGGAGAGAAGTGGGGATTAGAGGCGCACCAGACCTGGACACATGACTCACCTTATAGAGTGCGGCTTCATTGTAGCGCCTCAGACTGGCCCCAGCAGAGGCAGCAGCTGCATGCCGCGCGTCCCGGAGCCCCTGCGCTGTGCCCCGCTTGGCCCGCACTGTGTAGCGGTGAAAGCTTTTGTGTGTCAACACTTCTCGTCTATAGACAGCACAGACTCAGTACTGGAAATCAGATGGTGCTCCCAGACTAACAGGATCCATTCCATCCTTGCCCCATGCAGCACCCTCTCACCCTTGGAAAATGGCACCAGCAAAGTGCCCAGCAGCAGCCATGAGCACCACACAGTCCCTGGGACCTCCACTCTGCAGGTTCTGAATCAGCAGTTCTGGTTCTTCAAGGGGCACCTGGAGACACAGGAGCAGCACAAGCATCTCTGTGGCACTTACTGGGAGTAAGAAACAAGTGCCAGTGCCACGTGATTCACAGGCAGCATCTCTTTTGATACAACAGCTCCATTATTGTCTCCATTTTATAAATACGAAAATTGGAGGCTTGCAGAGGTAGTCAAGATCAAGTAGGAGAACCACAATTCCAACCTAGATCCGTCTATTTCCAAATTGAATTCCACTCCACTTGACCCTTGTAAGATTCAGGCCAGTTCAAGACTGTGCCATCAAGTGTGACACCTACCCTGAACAGGAAGGAAGGGAAGAAGTAAGAAATAGACTGTGCTGAGGGGAAATCTAGGCCGAGTTTACAAAAGGCTGGGGCTGACCACACAACGTGTGCTGGCACTTGCCTGGCGAGGGCCTAGGACACAGCGATAGGCATAAAGAAACTGGCCCTGGGCATTCTGGAAAAGAACCCGATGGGGGTGGAAGCCTCGGGGTCGCATAGGCTTCTCCAAGTCAGCCCTCTCCTCATCCAGTATCTGCAGGTCCTCCTCACTGTCTGAGTCTTCTGATCCTGAGATGCTGGAAAGATCGCCTGAGAACAACAAAAGTTAAGAAAGCTTGGTACCCCATCTTTGACCTTTCTTCAAGCTCCTCAACTAGGGTCTTTCTCCATCCCCATGACTGATTCGCACATGCTCTCCCACCAGTCATCACCTGTGGAACTCTGCTTTTCAAAGTCCAGGGCAGACAGGAGAGGCTTGTCCTTGAGACGCTGCTTTAGGTTAAACCGATGCCAGTCAAGCTTGTAATGTTCCCTCTGGTATGAGACAAAGAGGGAAGAACAATGTGGAAATATGCCTGACCCAGACTTTTATGGTACCCAAGACCTAAAAAAGAACTCCATGAAGTATGACCAGGTAATACTAACTTCCTTAGTTAATGTAGACCTTCATTAAAAACAAATTTCTACCTCTTTTCCCCAACCATGACATTTTTGCTTCCACATTTATCTCTGCACCTGGTCTTTTACCTGTTCCTGGTGGTTCTGGAAGACCTGGTCACAGGTTGAACAAAACAACTTCTCTGAAATATCCAGAGGACCCTGGAGTGGTCTTCTTTCTGGGCTTATTTGCTCCTCTGAACCTAAAGGGGAGGGTAAACAGAGGTAGAAAGGGGGCCCAAATCCACACTATCTAGGATTACATTCAGTGTCTGATATACAAAGCAGAAGATACAAATGAGAGAGATGACATGTCATTGCCTTCAAGGAATTTAACAATCTAGTAATCATGAAATAAATGACACAGCAATCACTTTATAGAATAAATATGCTTCTAAAAAGATATATATAGGAAGAATATAAACACTGTATGTATATTAACAACAGGGATTGTTTAGAGGAAGCCTGAAAGTGAAAATGTTAGTCGCTCAGTCATGTCTGACTGTTTGCAATCACATGGACTGCAGCCCACCAGGATCCTCTGTCCATGAAATTCTCCAGGCAGAACACTGAAGTGGGTTGCCACGCCCTTCTCCAGATCTTCCCGACCCAGGGATTGAACCTGGGTCTCCCACATTGCAAGCAGATTCTTTACTATCTGAGCCACCAGTGAATGGTTTCTGGTAAGGTTAAGATTATTTTTAAACTGTGCAAATAACTCTTCCCCACTACCATCTTTTTAGCTTATATTTCCAATTACAGTGTGCAGTTGGGTTTTTTTTTTTAAAGTATAAGAAAACAGTCAAACTCAGGTAGGATGAAACCAACAGTAAATTATTCTATATTCAGCAAGAAGGAATGATTTGATTGGAATAGTTAAATTTGGGTGCTATCAAGGAAGAGTGAAGTGTTTTTGCAGGCAGTGGTGTTAATGTGATGAGGCATAAGCAATGGCAAGAGATTTGCTTGGAGACAATTCAGGAGCCTGTTCTAGAAATCCAGCGATCGAGTGAAATATTTTTTTAAAATCAGAAAACATGTACAAATGTTGCCTTAAATTCCTAACAGTTAAGAAAAATATACACAAACTTCAGCGTAAAAGTAAAAAACAAACACTCTGCAGTTGGGAGCTGATAAATTTTATCCAGTGGAAGATGTCAACAAGAGCTCCTAAGCTGGGAAACACCAATAAGAATGTGTTCCCTGGAGGAGCAATAAGTTCCAAACTGTCCTGTCATATCTCTTACGGGTCCACCCCACACCTTCCCAGATACCTGGACAGGAAGTCTGCAGAGCCTGGGCCAAGGCCTCCTCGGGAAAGTGGCTCACCAGGCGCAGGCCCTGAAGGACCGGAGCATCCGTGCTGAGGTCAAACAGGGAGACCGACACAGGAGCCTGGGCTGCAGCTGGAGCCGGCGACATGGCTGAACAGAAATCTACTTAGATGCAGCTGCTGGAGCAGAAAGGTGGTTAAGAAACAGCTTCCCAAAGCAACGTCCTATGCCGCCTCCCCAGCCAGCGTGACTTCGTTTCCCCTACTCCGCAAGGCACCACGGCCACTCACCCGGGTACCAGGGGTGGGCCCAAGGCTAATACGTGATCCCAGCCTGCTTTCTCAAATCCGCAGTCTCGGACCACACAAGAGTGAAATGGGCGCGAATTCAGCAACCAAATCGACTCCAGCAGAGTTAAAATCACCAAGGTCCCTTAACCAACCTCTCCTCGTTACCCGTGCGGTGAGTTCCAGCAGTGACTACACCGCGTGGACGCGCCCCCGCCCGCAGAAGCTGCACTTAAGGTCAGAAGGAGCAGAGAGGTACGGGAAATCTACAGTCCGAAACCCAGATTTTTGCAATACCTTAACAAACTCGTCACTACGGAGTAGCGAAGAGGACAAAAGGCATTGGCTGCATCTGAGCCCCGCCCCACGTAGAGCGTGCAATTGGTTCCCTGACTTCCAGGGCCCGCCTCTAGCTTTTAGTCCCGCCTCGGACGCCGAGCATTGGCCATCGTTTCTCCACCCCCACGTTCATTGGTCAGACTAACTGCGTCTGACAGTGAGTGGCAGACGCCGGGCCTAGCGCTCCCGGTCGGGCCGAGCCCAGTGAAGCCGACGGAGCCCCTGGAATCACCCGGGTGACCGTTCCTGTGGTGAAACGCGAGCCCGGTTACCGAAATCTCACGATCCGTGTCGGGCCTGGCCAGGTATGCCCGCGGAGTCCTAAGCGGACTTGCGGTGGGTAACGGGGGAAAGGGCACCGCGGGCGGGGCGGAGGCGCGCAGCCGGAATGTTTTGATAGCGGGGTCGCGCGGACGGGGGCGCGCGTGAGCGACGGGGCCGCGCGCAAGATTGTCCGCTGTTGGGAGCCGAGCCCTTGGCCTGGGGCCGGGCGGTCTGGGGGCGCGCTGGGCTCGGGTCGTGGCAGCTGGGTGTAGAAAGGCAACCCGGCTCAGCTGGGTGTATCGGCTGTCGGACTGGCTCGATTCTTCCAACGTCCGCAGGAACCCCTGAGCCTGGGCCCGGCTGACAGGGGCTCTATGGGCCCTGGGTCTACACTGACCCAGTGAGTGGTGAGTTCCCTGAGGATCTTAGGATCCAGGGCTCTCACTAACCTGGGGAACCCCACTGGGGCCAGGCTGGGCAGTGCTCCACAGCTTCAAGGTCTGCACTGACTGGGTGAGTGCCACCTAGATCATGCCTGTCTCCAGGATCAAGGGAACCCACAGTTGAGCCAGGATCTGGGTCTACACTGACCCAGTCAGGATATCCCATCTAGGAACTTTGCCTGCCTGCTGGGTGTTTGCTAGGGAAGCAAGGGCAGCTCCTTTTTAAGAGAGACTCTCTTCTTGGGTTTTGGGTTTGGGACCTTGTGGACCCGGGAAGGTCCACCTAATTCCTCAGGCTGAGGTGGGGCATGGAGAACAGTCCAGCCCTGTACAGACTCAGTCTCTGCAGGTTCATTAAGCCACAGCATGGGACCCTAGAGTTGAATGAGTGGCCTCATATGGCACAACCAGCGGAAGTGTGCATAGCCTTAGGCTAGGAGGGGTGCCTCTTTCCCACTGCAGCCTCCCTGCCCCTTGCTTGGCTTCCCCTGAGTGGGGGTAGGGGGGGTTTGGGGGGCAGGGGGGGAGTGGTAGCATTGGGTTTATTTCTATTCCCACTCCCCACTCTCTGGGGCCTGACACCTTCTCCTCCAGCAGCTGCAGAGCCAGGGCATCGAGGGCTGGAGTGGAGCTGACACTGTCCATGGAGCTGGTAGGGCCATGTGCTTATCTCAAACTTCTGTTTACAAAGTGCTTCCAAACTGCTAGTCTCTTGGGAGACCAGGGTTTCTCTAGGAGGGGAGTGGGAGGGCCCCTTCTCTCCACTGAATAGAAGATGAAACAGACCCTGCTGCCCCACCCCATAAAGGGGCAGAGTCTGTCTTCAGGCCAGCAAGGCCTCAGTAGACACTCAGTAAAGACTACAGGAATGACTGACCTCATTGGTCAGTGAGGGCCTCCCAAGCCCTGAGCATATTGCTTTCCTTGGGTTACTACTCCCTCTGCCTTTGATCCAGGAAGACTAGTAGTGGAGACCAAGCCCAAGGATTCTTTCTCGTTCATTTCTGTTCTAGTAGGCAGGGAAGATGACAGCAGAAGGTCTGAACCTGCGTCTCTCTTTCCTCTGTGCCCACAGGTGGACAGGGTGGACAGGGGGCGGTGGTGATGGCGCAGTTTGACACTGAATACCAGCGCCTAGAGGCCTCCTACAGCGATTCACCCCCTGGAGAGGAGGACCTGTTGGTGCATGTCCCTGAGGGGAGCAAGTGTGAGTTCCTGGACATGACAGCCAGAACTGGGACTTGGGGGGAGAATTGGTGGAGGGACGCTGAGGGAGCAAGGGGCTTCCATTTCTTCGGGGCTCTGACATCTCTGCTCCTGTACCCACAGCACCTTGGCACCACATCGAAAACCTTGACCTCTTCTTCTCTCGAATATCCTTTGTGTCTCTGTGTTGGAGCTCTTGAACCTTCAGCCCCTCTCTAAGCCAGGCTCCTTGAGGGGAAGAACTTGGTGTGGGTTTGGCTCTAATCCCTCAAAGCGGAGTGGAGTGCACCTTGAGCTTAAGTAGAGGCTAGGGAAATAATGACAGTTATAAATAATGATATCTCACATCTATTAAGAGCCATGTGCATTGTACTTTGTAGTATTAATTTATAAGGAACCTCTCTGAGGGTGATTCTCTTGATGGTATGCTAATAATCATAATAATTATTGTCTTTTGACTTTGTGTCAGTTCTGTGTTAAATACTTTACATGCGCTATCTCAGACCTAACGATCCTATAAGACAAGTGCTATTATACTACTATAGACAGAGCTTAGAGAGTTAAGTAACTTGGCCAAAGTCACACGGCTCGAAAGTCAGAGAGCCGGGACTTCATCTCAGGTACATGACACCAAAGTCTGTGCTCTTATTTGCTGTCTCTACTGACCACTTTTTCTTAACAATTACACGTTTATAATCTACACCAGAAGAATGGTTTCACTTGTATGCTCATCGGGGAGATCTTTGAGCTCATGTAAGTACAAGGGACGGATGGTGCGGTGAAGGAACACATCACAGTGTTTCCTGTCTCTGAGCTCAACCCCTGGCCCAAACTGCCAGTGCAACTAGGTGCAAGGCTCAAAAGTGCAAACCTTTATAGTTTAAGGCTAGGTGTGGCACCAAGTTTTACAGACTTATCTTTTTTAATCACCCTTATAAGGAAGGCTTTCCAAGTCCTATCTCTTCCACAAAGAGAAGTCAGACTCATCAGAGCTCCAGTAGAATGAGCATGGTTCTGTCAGGAGGTATCAGATGCCAGATGCTTACTTGAGAAAAATGCCTCTGTTCTGCCTTGGATGTACCTTAGACCTACTGCTGAGTAGAGGGCCTTCTGGGAGGAAGGAGCCATATGGCTTTGCCAAAGAGTAAAGGGGTGGAAAACCTGCAAAGGGGTTCTACAATCTCAACAGGAAATCAGGGACTGGGGACCAGAGACCACAGTCTAAGACCTTTGAAAGAGTGAGTGGTGGCAGAGATTACCATGAGATAGAAAAGCAGGCTGATTCTGTGGTGCCTGAAGCTAAGAGCCAAAAATAGGTGCTGCTTTGGGTCTCCCGGGGCCAAGCAGTAGAGAGAGGCCCTCCATTTCTCCAGAGGCTGCTCCCTAGTCTTGGTCTGCCACTTCCAGACTCTCACTTTTTCCCGGTTATTTCACTGGTGTCTCTCTGACTCTCAGACCGCACCCCCTCTGCCCAACTACCCAGGCAGTTCCTCTTTGTGGTTGCCTTCACCACCTTCCTGGTCAGCTGTGTGGACTATGACATCCTATTTGCCAACAAGATGGTGAACCACAGTCTTCACCCAACTGAGCCTGTCAAGGTCACTCTGCCAGATGCCTTTCTGCCTGCCCAGGTCTGTAGTGCCAGGTAAGCACTGCAGGTCAGAGGGAACTAGAGCCTGTAGTTCAGCTAGCAGGTGGGGGATGGGGTGTGAGGCAGTAGCATTCCCCAGAACACAGGCTCAGACTCTCCGAATCCTTCAGGACAGCAGCATTTCTGCCCAGAAGCCTCAGGCCACTCTTCCTCCCCTTCCCTGTTCCCCCACCAGGATTCAGGAAAATGGCTCCCTTATCACCATCCTGGTCATCGCTGGTGTCTTCTGGGTCCACCGGCTCATCAAGTTTATCTATAACATTTGCTGCTACTGGGAGATCCACTCCTTCTACCTGCATGCTCTGCGCATCCCCATGGTGAGACTGGGAAGTTGGGCAATTAGCACCACAGTCCAGGATGTCTTCCACAGCCTGGGAAGGGTGGGGTATATTCCTGGGCATCAGGCAACTTCCTCCATCCTTGGTAGGTCAGGCAGGGTCTACTTAAAGGCTCCCAAGGACCCCTGAGCCTCACAGCTCATGGAGGGCAAGGGGCTGAGGCAACCACCCCGCCTTCCATCCCCCGTCTCTTCCCCACCCCAGTCGGCACTTCCATATTGCACATGGCAAGAAGTGCAGGCCCGGATCGTGCAGACCCAGAAGGAGCACCAGATCTGCATCCACAAGCGTGAGTTGACAGAGCTGGACATCTACCACCGCATCCTCCGGTTCCAGAACTACATGGTGGCGCTGGTGAACAAGTCCCTCCTGCCCCTGCGCTTCCGCCTGCCGGGTCTCGGGGAGGTTGTCTTCTTCACCCGGGGCCTCAAGTACAACTTCGAGCTGATCCTCTTCTGGGGACCTGGCTCTCTCTTTCTCAATGAATGGAGCCTCAAGGCTGAGTATAAACGTGGGGGGCAACGGCTGGAGCTGGCCCAGCGCCTCAGCAACCGCATCCTATGGATCGGCATTGCCAACTTCCTGCTGTGCCCCCTCATCCTCATCTGGCAGATCCTCTACGCCTTCTTCAGTTACGCCGAGGTGCTCAAGCGGGAGCCGGGCGCCCTGGGTGCGCGCTGCTGGTCACTCTACGGTCGCTGCTACCTCCGCCACTTCAACGAGCTGGAGCACGAGCTGCAGTCCCGCCTCAACCGAGGCTACAAGCCTGCATCCAAGTACATGAATTGCTTCTTGTCACCACTGCTGACACTGCTGGCCAAGAACTGCGCCTTCTTCGCTGGCTCCATCCTGGCCGTGCTTATTGCCCTCACCATCTATGATGAAGACGTGCTGGCTGTGGAACACGTCCTCACCACCGTCACACTCCTGGGGGTCACTGTGACCGTGTGCAGGTGGGCCAGGGCAGCAGGGGGGAGCAGGCTGCCTGTCATTTCCAGGAAGGGCTTCCATCTCACCATGGCCCTGATCCTACCAGGTCCTTTATCCCGGACCAGCACATGGTGTTCTGCCCTGAGCAGCTGCTCCGCGTGATCCTCGCTCACATCCACTACATGCCTGACCACTGGCAGGGTAATGCCCACCGCTCGCAGACCCGGGACGAGTTTGCCCAGCTCTTCCAGTACAAGGCAGTGAGTGGAGTTGGAGTCAGGGCCTGCTAGAGACTGGCTGACAGCTCGGTGCCGAGGGCTGGTCTCCCTCCTGCTCTCTTGTGACCTCAGTCCCTTTCTTCCTCTCTAGGTGTTCATCCTGGAGGAGTTACTGAGCCCCATTGTCACACCTCTCATCCTCATCTTCTGCCTGCGTCCACGGGCCCTGGAGATTATAGACTTCTTCCGCAATTTCACTGTGGAGGTTGTTGGTGTTGGAGACACCTGCTCCTTCGCGCAGATGGATGTTCGCCAGCATGGGCATCCCCAGGTATTAGGAAAGGAGGGGGGCAGTTGGCCAGAGGCGATGCTGGCCTATACAGCATTTTGGGGCAAATTGCAAAGAGATACCCCTTCTGAGCCAGTGAATCACAGAGTGGCAGCCCTGCACCAGGGCACACACAGCTTTGTAAGCAGGAGCCTAGACTGGATTATAGCCTTAAACTTGCATCCTTGGCCAAGCTCCCCTGAGAAAGGCACAAACCAAGCAGCTAGCACAGTATGTGGCTACTTGTAGGGCAGCCACTAGGGCCCCCGGATGAGATACAGTAGTGCATTGTGGTCTCTGTCCTCCAGGGGCAAGGCCTCCCCCCTCCACTGCAGGAAAGGTACCAAAAGGGCTTCTGTAAGGGGCCAGTCCTGCTCACTGCAGCCTCCCTTGTGCAGTGGCTGTCCGGTGGGCAGACAGAGGCCTCAGTGTACCAGCAGGCCGAGGATGGGAAGACAGAGTTGTCACTCATGCACTTTGCCATCACCAACCCTGGCTGGCAGCCACCACGTGAGAGCACGGCCTTCCTAGGTTTCCTCAAGGAGCAAGTTCAGCGGGACGGAGCAGCTGCTGGCCTTGCCCAAGGGGGCCTGCTCCCGGAAAATGCCCTCTTTACGTCCATCCAGTCCTTACAATCCGAGTCTGAGGTGCGTTCCTAGGGACTGGGAGATGATGGGCAGAGTGGACGCCAGGAGCTGGGACTTGAGGGTGTGGGGCAGAAGGGTCCACCCTCCTGTTGGTTTCCTTTTCTCTGTTCATTCAGACTGTGCCACTGGGTCCTAATGTGCAGAGTCCTGGGGGACCCAAAGGCCTCCTTGTGCTCTGAGAATTCTACCACCCCTTTTATTCACAGCCCCTGAGCCTTATTGCAAATGTGGTAGCCGGCTCATCCTGCCGGGGCCCCCCTCTGCCTAGAGACCTGCAGGGCTCCAGGCACAGGGCTGAAGTCGCCTCTGCTCTGCGCTCCTTCTCGCCCCTGCAGCCTGGTCAGGCTCCCACGGGTAGGGCTCCCAGCACCATGACAGGCTCTGGGTGAGTAGCAGTGGGCCGAGAGGGGAGGGCATGGCAGTAGCCCCCAGCAGTTTGTGCAGGTCTCAGAAATGTTGATGACTGCTGTCTGTGCTGGCGTTGGGGACAGGGTGGATGCCAGGACGGCCAGCTCCGGGAGCAGCGTGTGGGAAGGCCAACTGCAGAGCCTGGTGCTGTCAGAATATGCATCCACTGAGATGAGCCTACATGCCCTCTACATGCACCAGGTGAGTGGGCAGGAAGGGGCAGGGGTATAGAACCAAGGTGGCAGCTGAAAATAGAATAGAGGGTTTTAGACGTGGAAAAGCAAAACATGGGCTCGAATCCCTTCTCTGCCATTTACCTGCTCTGCAATTTCCATTCCCGCATATTTCCTCTTCCTATCCTTTTCAGCCAAGCTTACTCTCACCCAGGGCTTTTCCACACTTGTGGTTTCCCCTGCTAAGAATCCACTTCCCTGACATATTCACATGGCTCCCTCTTTCTCATTCAGGTCTGCTCTTTCCCACGCTATGAGACCATCTCTGGCCGCCCTGAGTAAAAGCCTCCCTTGCCTACCCTCCTGAATCTTCCAGTTCTGTTTTTCTTTCCATAGCATTTAGCATCATCTGACACTGGTATTTTTTCCTTATTTATTTGTTTATTGTCTATCTCCCCCCACTCCATCCAAGTATATAAGCCCCAGGGAGTTGGGGTTTTTGTCTATTTTGTTTACTGCTGTATCCCCAGCACCTGAAAGAGCTCCTGGCACTTAAATTCACAAACAATTTATTCTGGAATCAAATGACTGGGGAAAATGAGAGCCATTACAATCTATGCATAGGCTTGTTCCAGGAATCTGCTGAGAATTTAACTTGTAAAACATCACATGTATGTTACATGTTATTAACATAACAGGTACTCTGGGTGAGTGCTTCTAGATGAGGCGATATAAATCAGAACTGGCCAATACCATGGTGGAGGGTAACTATTTCAGATATTATTCTGTCTCCAACTGCTTCCTTTGTGGCTCAGCAGGTAAAGAATCCACCTGCAATGAGGGAGACCTGGATTCAATCCCTGGGTTGGGAGATCCCCTGGAGAAGGAAAAGGCTACCCATTCCAGTATCCTGGCCTGGAGAATTCCACAGACTGTACAGTCCATGGGGTCACAAAGAGTCAGACGCAACTGAGCGACTTTCACTTTCTGTCCCCAACTAACGAATCCCCCACTTCTCAGCTCCACAAGCAGCAAGCCCAGGCTGAACCTGAGCGGCATGTGTGGCACCGGCGGGAGAGCGATGAGAGTGGGGAGAGTGCCCCTGAAGAGGGGGGAGAAGGGGCCCGGGCCCAGCCTATCCCCCGCTCTGCAAGCTATCCCTGCGCTGCACCCCGGCCTGGAGCTCCTGAGACCACTGCCCTGCAGGGGGGCTTCCAGAGGCGCTACGGAGGCATCACAGGTATGCACTGGGGGTGCAGAAAAGACAGAGCCTTCAGGGAAGAGTGGTCCTTCTGGGGCCTCTAGGGGAGGAGAGAGGTCAGAGGGACCAGACCCAAGGAGACTAGTCCCTCCCCGGCGCCTCCAACTCCCCCAGCAGCCCCAGAGCCCATCTCTTCATTCCTGTCTGTGTGCACACTAAGAGTACTCACTTGTGTCTGTAGATCCTGGCACAGTGCCCCGGGCTCCCTCTCACTTCTCTCGGCTGCCCCTGGGAGGATGGGCTGAAGATGGGCAGTCAGCATCAAGGCACCCGGAGCCTGTGCCCGAAGAGGGCTCAGAGGATGAGCTACCCCCTCAGGTGCACAAGGTAAGGGCTCCAAGACCCAAAACCGACAGCCAGAAGTAGTAACTTCCAGGCTGAGGTCAAGCTTTTCATGTGAAGGGAGGTGGCCTCCTGTGCACAGACGCTGCAACTTCTCCTCCAAAGTAGACTGTCTTCTCTCCCTCACCAACTGTGAAACCCAGGACTCGATTTTTCCTTTGCTTACCTGCCTCAGAATCAAGTTTTCCTTTTCCTTTATCTCCAGGCTTCTGTTGTGGAAGCAGATTGCTGAAGACCAGCTCCATAACCAACCCATTTCTCTCCACAGGTATAGACGAGGCGGAGGAGGGTCCTATGCCTCAGGATGGAGGCCATCGTTGCCCTGCTATCCCAGAGGAGGGTCCCTGTGCCCCAGGATGGAGGCCTTTGCTGCCCTGCCACCCCATCCGTCCGTCATGGAGGGCTCCCGAGTGCTGCCTGGCTCCATGCGTGTATTGTTTGTGTGTCCGTGCCTGGCCAAGGGAGGTGCCAATGCTGGGCTCGCCACAGCCCCAAGAGAGAAACAGGGGGCCTAGGAAACAGGGCACATGGGACTCTAGCCTCATCCCCAGGACCCCCCTTGGCTCAGAGTGTGGTGCTAGAAACTGGTCCCCAGCCCAGCCCCAGTACTGCCACCTTTGCACCCACCCCTGCAAGTCTCCAGAGGACTGCCCACCCCAGAAGCTGCCAAGCAGGGAGAACGTGTGCCAACTGTGGAGTGGGGAGGTTGGGCCTGGACCCTCAACCTCTGCAGCCTCCCTCCCCACCCCCGAACAGATGAGCAGCTCAGGCTGTGGCCCTTACCTCACCCCCAGTTCTCTCCCAGTGCTGCAGCCTGCTCACCTCTCCCCTGCTTCCTGCACATGCATCACTGGCATGTTTGCCACTTGCTCCCCTTCTGTTCCCTTGCTCCCCCCTTCTGTTCAGCTTTTGCTTTGTGTTGGTGTGGAGGCTTTAGCTCCCAGCTCCCCTCATGCTATCTTTTGACACTAAGAAGGAAGGTTTCTAAACTGTGGAGCAGGGATGGACAGCAGGGATTTGCTGTCCTCTCCAACTTTTTAGGATGGGCCCCTGGGAGACTTGCGGCCTTCCTGGCCCCCATTGCTGCTTATTGTACCCCGTACCACCTGCACATGGGATGGAAAGGGCCGGAGTGTGACCTCGGCTGTCTGTCTCCCAGCAAGAGCGCTCTGGCCTGCATCCCGCTGTCCCGAGAGGGGGATGGAGGGGCGACAGGATGGCTTCGCCCTCGGCTTTGGGCTGTCGCACTGCATGCTGGGACCCAACTCCTTTCCCTCCCCCCCACCCCCGCCTCTCTCCCCCAGCTCGGGTCCGCTGCGGGTGAACGGTTGAACTACGCAGCCGAACTTACAGCGGAATGGGGTGGGGGACCGTGTACAGCTTGACAACCTTTAATAAAGAAGGGACTGACTAGGTCGCGGCTTGTTGTCCGGAGCGGCTAGGGTTTTGGGGGGCAGGAGGGGTGGGGTGTCTGTGAACCACCCAGGTGGCTGGGGACACTCCGCCCCGTGAGAAAGCTGGTCTATACGATCACTTGGATATACCGACCTAGCGGGCGAGCAGAAGGGCAGCTTCCCAAGCCACGGTTCCTCGGAGGTCAAGGACTCCGGCAGGACGTGCGGTCGGATTTCCCGCCCTGAGCACGTGACCGTGCCAGCTCCGCCCTTCTATTTTGCCCTTCTCTGCGTGCGCCATCCCCCTCCCCGCCTCTTCGGAGACTCGGCCAATGGGGACCTGGGTAGGGGCCAGGGGCGGCCCCCGGTGGGCGGGGCTGCTGCGGAAGAGAGTCGCTGGAGTCAGACATTGAACACTCCGTGGGCCCGGACCCAGCGGGAGGGTCACCTGCCGCCAGCTGAGGGCGAACGGCGGAGACTGCGTACGTGCCCGGCGTGAGTGCGTGGCGGCGGCGCGTGCGCGAAGCGAGTGGGTGGTGTGGCTGGGTCCACGTGCGACCCTGGCCGGCGACCCCTGCCGCTCAGTGCCCAGAGTATCCATGACCCGAGATACTCGGGATTCCGCGCCGCGCCCCGCCCCGAGCGGCCGCCTCTCCAGTTCTCCGGTCCCTTAGTCCCCGTAGTCTCGGTCGGTGGCCACACATTGCCATGGTGACTGTGGGCAACTACTGTGAGGCCGAAGGACCAGCGGGTCCGGCCTGGGCGAAGGGTGGGCTCAGCCCCTGCTTCTTCTTCACGCTCGTGCCCTCGACGCTGTTAGCCCTGGGGGCTCTGGCCTTGGTGCCGGCTTTTCCCTGCAGACGTCCGGAGCGGCCTGGGGGCGCCGACAGGGTGTCTTGGGCGGCCGGCCCTCGCGTCGCTCCCTACGTGCTACAGCTGCTTCTGGCCACACTTCAGGTAGCGCTACCCCTAGCCGGCCTCGTTGGCCGGGTGGGTACTGCCCAGGGTGCCCCACTACCAGGCTACCTTTTCCTGGCTTCTATACTGGGGACTGTGGCCAGCGCCTGTGGTCTGGCGATGCTCGTGACAGAACGGAGCCAGGCACTGCAGAAGCTCGCAATGGGCGTCTGGATCAAGTTCAGGCACAGCCCGGGTCTCCTGCTCCTCTGGACTGTGTCTTTTGCAGCCGAGAATTTGGCCCTGGTGTCTTGGAACAACCCACAATGGTGGTGGGCAAGGACGAACTTGAGCCAGCAGGTGAGGGACCTCGTGGGGGGAGGGGATGCGTGACGTGTCTGCTCACATTGCTTCCACGCTTTTCAAATGCCTTTAAGAAAGGGAAGAAAGGAGGGGCCAGTACTGCTGGGAGCTGATAGCCAGCTGGTGGGGAGTGGCATGCTGAGTCACTGTAGGTTTTTTTAAAGCCTATTAGATGCTGGGCCCCTGAAGAGGACCTGGGTGTGTGTACTACCCCAGTGCCCAGCCATATTACAAGTAGTGAAAATGAGACTTTGGCCCTCAGTGATAGCCTCCCCGCCTATGTTTAATTCTAGGTTCAGTTTAGCCTGTGGGTGCTGCGGTATGTGGTCTCTGGAGGACTTTTTGTCCTGGGGCTCTGGGCCCCTGGACTCCGACCACAGTCTTACACCTTGCGGGTCAATGAAGAGGATCAAGATGTAGAGAGGAGCCAGGTACACCTCAATTTCTAAAACTTAGGGTCTATCGTAATTCCATTCCCCATCATCATTTCTACTCACCATAATAACTCACTTCTTTCCTAAATCTAAATCCCTGTTAGCCTTCCTGAGCCCATCAGGGGTCACATTGGGTCCAAGTTACCTGGGAGCTATAATCCCATACATTTTCCTTAGGGGGTTTCTGGCTAATACCATTTTGATTTCTGAGCTCCCCTCCCCTACATGTTTCACCATCCTAGGTTCCATCAACAGAGGGGCTACTGAGGTCTACCTGGCGAGACCTAGGCAGGAAGCTCCGCCTACTGAGTGGCTACCTGTGGCCTCGGGGGAGTCCAGCTCTGCAGTTTGTTGTGCTCCTCTGCCTTGGGCTCATGGGGTTGGAGCGGGGACTGAACGTGTTGGTCCCCATCTTCTATAGGGACATAGGTGAGGGGGAGAAGGAGGGGGTCAGCTTAGCACTCTGGTTCTTTATTGTCCTGGATGGTGGCAGAGACTAGCCCAGGGAAGTGTGACAGAGTTGAGAACTGGGTGGTCAGTAGAGGCTGTGGCTGATGCCTAGGGCAGTTTCTCCCAAAGAGAGTGCTAGGGTCTCTGAGTGGGCTTGGACTCATTTTCTCCATAGTGAACTTGCTGACCCAGAAGGCACCTTGGAACTCCCTGGTCTGGACGGTCATCATCTATGTCTTCCTCAAGTTCCTCCAGGGGGGTGGCACTGGCAGTACAGGTATGAGGGACTCTGCTCTCACCCTGGTTGGTATTGGCCGCTGTCCCTCCTTCCACAGGCGTCCCTCCCCTGGGCCCCTTGGTGCTCTCAGACCTTTCACATCTTGCTGCTGGGCTGTCATTGAGCCGCTCAGCCCTACCAAGGCCTCCCTGGCTCCCCGCAGGCTTTGTGACCAACTTTCGCACGTTCCTATGGATCCGAGTGCAGCAGTTCACCTCGAGGCAGGTGGAACTGCGCCTCTTCTCCCATCTGCACGAACTTTCACTGCGCTGGCACCTGGGGCGCCGCACAGGGGAGGTGCTGCGGATCGTGGACCGGGGCACGTCCAGTGTCACGGGGCTGCTCAGGTGCCATGCCAATGGAAAGGAATTGCGGGAGGGCAGGGCTGGGGAAACGGGTGGAGGGGCTGTCAGGACAACCCACCCAGCTGGAGGAGTTGTCTCTTTGTCCTCTTTTTCTCTTAAATTATAAAATTAATATACACATGCCCTTATAATAATTCCAATAAAGCAGACAGAGCAAATCTCTCTTGAATTCCACTCACTAGAGGTTCCCACTCTGTTTAGTATGTATAGTTCTGCTTTTTTGCATTTTTTTACATATATACATGTAGAACTAGTAGGTATTGTGGAGGTGCTTCCTAAAACAGATGGTATCATGACGTAGGCGTCATTTCTCAGAATGGCTTCATTATCAAAATGTTATGGAGATGTATTCTTATCCGGGCTTCCCTGGTGGCTCAGTGGTAAAGAATCTGCCTTCCAAGCAGGAGATGCAGGTTCAATCTCTGGGTTGGGAAGATCCCCTGGAGAAGGAAATGGCAACCCACTCTAGAATTCTTGCCTGGAGTATTCCAGGGACAGAGGAGCCTGGCCTGCTACAGTCCACAGGGTTGCAAAGAGTCAGACACAACTTAGTGATTAAACAACATTTTCATCCATACATGAAGATCTTTCTCATGCATTATAACTGATCCAAAGCATTCTGTAGTTTGGGCATGCTATGGTTTATTTAGCCATAATAAGGTAAGGGGCATCGATGCTTAAGGGGCATTTAGCTTGATTCTAGTCTGTTGCTATAGAAAACAAAACACTACGTCGAAACCTCCTAGGTAGAGTTACTGACCCTGAGCCCTCAAACTATTCTTTGTTGCTTGACTTTGCCTCCTAGCTACCTGGTATTCAACATCATCCCCACACTGGCTGACATCATCATTGGCATTGTCTACTTCAGCATGTTCTTCAACGCTTGGTTTGGCCTCATTGTGTTCCTCTGCATGGGTTTTTACCTTGGTGAGTGCTGCTTGGTGAAACCATCTCCCTGAACCATTTACGGAGTGCCTTGAATGTGAGTCCTGCCCGGACTCAGATGGCCCAGCTTTGAGAAGCTGTAGATCAATGGGCTCCAATAGGCTCCTGCTGCTCTCCAGTGTGATGGGTGAGCATCCTCTGTCAAGGAAGCCCCAGCTCTCCCTAGGGAAGGACATCCTGGTCACTTTAGATTCCCACTGTGGAACCTCAAGTCAAGGAGGAACTTCATGTGATAGGATGCAGCTTGCCTCCATTGGTTCACCAAAACTGTTTTCACACAGGCTTTATGCAGACTGTGATGATATCTTGGACACAGCCCCTTCCCTCAGGGAGCTTAGGACTCCCTCCCTTGGGAATCTGGGTCCCTGGGTTATAGCACAGGGTTAGTGTACACGTGACCAGCAGCAGACATACATGTGGTCTCTGCTGCTGGGAGTGACTTGCTCTCTTCTCCTCCCTCTCACTTCTCCTGTCACTCTCTAGCCCTGACCATCGTGGTCACTGAGTGGAGAACAAAGTTTCGACGGGCCATGAACATGCAGGAGAATGCTACCCGGGCCCGGGCTGTGGACTCTTTGCTAAACTTTGAGACGGTAACGGAGACCTCAGTGGCAGTGTTGTGAGGTTTGGAGATGTAGAGGAGTGTGCCTGGGGTCGTTGGGGCTGACAAGGAGCAGGGAGGATGCGAAGTATGCTGCTTACAATCAGGGAGGAGGGATGGGGAATGGAGCTGAAAGCTGTGGCCGTATGAAATAGCACTGGTTTGAAATTCATCAGGTGAAGTATTACAACGCAGAGAGTTATGAAGTGGAACGCTATCGCGAGGCCATCATCAAATATCAGGTCAGGATGCTGGTTTGCGGCCTACTGAGAGCAACAGCCAGGACTTGTGGAATCACCAGGCCTGAGAGGAGTAAAATTTGGGCTGTGAGGTTGATGTACCTGGGCCCAGGTTGGGATTTGGTGACTGTCAACATGTGTATGACATTCCTTCCTTGTTTGTCCTTGCCCAAGAGTTTAGAGTGGAAGTCAAATGCTTCACTGGTTCTACTAAATCAGACCCAGAACCTGGTGATTGGACTTGGGCTCCTCGCCGGCTCCCTGCTTTGTGCCTACTTTGTCACTGAGCAGAAGCTACAGGTGAGGGAATTGTCCTGGGCCTGGGGACTTTGTCTAGGCCATCAGGTTCATAGGTGGGAAGTAGGTAGGGGGGTAGCTAGTGGGCAGGGTGACAGCCCACCAGCCTCCTGTGACTGTCCTCATCCCTGGATGTCCACAGGTCGGGGACTTTGTGCTGTTTGGCACCTACATCATCCAGTTATACATGCCTCTCAACTGGTTTGGCACCTACTACAGGTAACCTGATGCCAGCCCTCACCTGTCCAGGGTGCACTGTTACCTCCCCAGCTCCCGGGAGGCGCTCCAACCAACCCTCTTCTTGCAGGATGATTCAGACCAACTTCATCGACATGGAGAACATGTTTGACCTGCTGAAAGAGAAGACAGAAGTGAGTGAGGAGAGAGGAGTGGGTTTGTAGGGAGTGGGAGCTGGCATGGTGTTCCTCGTGTCTGGAGGATATCAGGCCTGTAATGGCACACAATGGCGGCACTCTCACAGGTGAAGGACCTTCCCGGCGCAGGGCCCCTTCGCTTTCAGAGGGGTCAGATTGAGTTTGAAAACGTGCACTTCAGTTACACTGATGGGTGAGCCCCTCCTCTTCCACTGTCCCACAGCCCCCTTTTCCCGTGTCCATTTACACACTGCTCCTCCCCTTGCCCCTCCCCACTGCTTCTCAGCCACCACCATCTGGGAAGACAGACTGAGCGAGAGGTGGCAGGGCCCAGTACTAGCTCTAGTGGTGGAGGGGCCCCTGGCAGTATAGCCGGCCTGCCGACCATGCTCACCCTTCCTTGCAGGCGGGAGACCTTGCAGGATGTGTCCTTCACCGTGATGCCTGGACAGACACTGGCCCTGGTGAGAGGAGACCCAGCCCTCTGACCAAGACTCCTTGAGCTTCCCTTATTCCAGTGCCCGTGGTAGCTGGGGATCCAGGTTGTAGAGTCAGAGAGCCCTGTCATATTGGGTCACAGGACTGAATGTGGCTCCTCCATGGACATTGGTGGCCTCTTGGAGAGAAAGCCTTAAAAGCCAACGGGCCTGAGAATGTTTTTCTTTCCTTAAATTTTTTTGTTTTGGTTGTGGTGGGTCTTAATTGCTGTGTGAAAACTTTCTCTAGTTGCAGCGAGCAGGAGCTACTCTGTTGCCGCGCACAGGCTTATTGTGGTGGTGGCTTCTCCTGTTACAGAGCACAGGCTTCAGGCACATGGGCTTCAGGAGTTGTAGCATGCAGGCTCAGTAGTTATGGCTCTCGGGCTCTAGAGTACAAGCTCAGTAGTTGTGGTGCATGGGCTGAGGTACTCTGAGACATGTGGAATCTTCCCAGACCAGGTAGCAAACCCATGTGCCCAGGTGGGCAGATTCTTACCCACTGCACCACCAGTGAAGTCCTGTCTCCCTCTGTTTTTCATGCAACAGGTGGGCCCATCGGGAGCAGGGAAGAGCACAGTTTTGCGTCTGCTATTTCGCTTCTATGACATCAGCTCCGGCTGCATCCGAATAGATGGGCAGGATATTTCACAGGTAAGGATGCTCAGGGGAAGACTATAATTTAGGGGCCCGTATGTGAAAGAACAGTGCGTGCTGGGCACCCAGGGAGTAGAGAAAGAGCTGTCACCCCTACAAAAAGCTGGGTCAGGATATCTCAGCCTTTCTAGCGGCACATGGTTTGTATAAGGGAAGTAGTCACGGGAGCGATTCCTAGGATCCTGTATGAGACACAAAGATCTGCAGCCATCCAGGGCAGCAGGGAGAGAAAATGAATTTTCTATCAATGGGGAAACAGAGAGAGATTAAGCGATTTGCCACACAGCTGGGGCCTGGGGAGGTGAAGGCAGGACTCTCACACAGAGATGTGCTTCCCACCAGCCCATCCTACCTTCCAGGCCTGGAGGGCTCTCACAGGCCAGAGTATATGGTTTTTTGGCCCCAGGTGACCCAGACTTCTCTCCGGTCTCACATTGGAGTCGTGCCCCAAGACACTGTCCTCTTCAATGACACCATTGCCAACAACATCCGCTACGGCCGCATCACAGCTGGGAACGACGAGGTGAAGGCTGCGGCTCAGGCTGCAGGCATCCATGATACCATCATGGCTTTCCCTGAAGGTAAGCCTCCCCTTCAGGGTCTCCCCCCGCCCAGTTCAGGCCCGTTACTGCCTCTGACTTCCATTCTACCCCGTCCTTGCCCATCTGGTCACAGAAACCAAGTGTAGTACATGTGACTTGAGAGAGGTGGGCAATTTCCACAGGGTATGATACGCAGGTGGGCGAGCGGGGACTGAAGCTGAGTGGTGGGGAGAAACAGCGTGTCGCCATCGCTCGCACCATTCTCAAGGCTCCAGACATTGTTCTGCTGGATGAGGTGAGGGCCCTGAGACGCCTTCCCCACCTCCTTCCTCCCCAAGCCTGTGCCGAGCCATTCCTGCTGAGCACCGTTCTTCATGTAGGAGAGCTAGCACAAATGCATGTTTCACAAAAACACTTTACAGTTTTCAAGTGCAAAACAAGGTCCTTTTTGATTCCTGAGGGCTCGGCTAGCCACTTGCATCCCCCTCCTGGTGGGAGGGACAGTTTTACCTAAGTTCCTCTCTGTAGGCAACATCTGCGTTGGATACCCATAATGAGCGGGCCATCCAGGCTTCTCTGGCCAAAGTCTGCGCCAACCGCACCACCATCGTGGTGGCACACAGGTATGGGACGGGCAGCAGGTGGGGGGGCCCCCTCAGGTGTTGTGGTGGGTGACTGACCTCTGACCTCTCAGGCTCTCCACGGTGGTCAGTGCTGACCAGATCCTCGTCATCAAGGATGGCCGCATCGTGGAGCGAGGACGGTAAGGGACACAGCATGATAAACAGGGAAGGGCCTCTGAAGTGGGGGCCCCAAGGTAAGGTCATGGAATCCCAGGGGTTTCTGGAAGGATCTCCTTCACCAGTTCCTTGTCATCTCACAGACTGGTGGCAAGCATCTTGGGGTACAAATAACAGTTGGTTGGGACTTACATTTTTCTCCTTGCCCCAGGCATGAGGCTCTGTTGTCCCGAGGTGGGGTGTATGCTGACATGTGGCAGCTACAGCAGCAGGGACAAGAAGAAGTCTCTGAAGACACCAAGCCCCAGACTAAGGCATGATGACAGAAGTTGTGGCCACTTCCTTCCTGAAGGATAACTCTGAGGGGAATACACTGTATCCCTTTTCCCTGCCATGTTTCATCCTGGTCTTGGTGCTAGCTATAGTGATGGAACAGGGATTTTCAGAAGAGCATTGTGGGGGAAATAAAAGTGTGGACTGTGTTAGGATCACTATGACTTTGTGGTGTGGGGAACTACAGCAGGCCTCCACTGCAGGTCAGATGAGCATTCTTGACGGGACTCTTGAGTTTTTGATTGGAAAAGAGAAACACACCACTTTGGTGTCTTATAGACTGCCCATCCTTTATTGTTTCTAGTCCCCCTCCCTGCCCCCTGTACATGGAGGGGAGCCCCAGTATATGGGGGATGACAAGATGCAGGGGGGCCAAGTGGGACCTGGCCAGGGAGCAGTTCAGAGCAGCTCACTCCCATGCAGCTGGAGCGGCCAGCAGAGCCCTCTGTAGGCTCAGTTCCACGTGCTGTTTCTCCAGATGCTCCCTGGAGGTGGCCTCCACGTCACTCCTCCTCGTCTTCACTCCGGCTGCTCCGGGCCTCCTCTCCCTGTGGACCCTAGAGGTGCGAGGGCCACAGTCTTCCTCAGCTGAGCCTCCCTCCCCAAGCCCAGGGCCCTAGCACAGGTTGCAGTTGGACGGCTTCAAGCTGCGGCTTTGAGCCTGGAGCAAGGGGAGGGGAAGGAGAGGAAGACAGGGTGCAACGTCAAGGAAATGAGGGACAGTCCTTGAGTGGAGTCATAGGAAAACAAAAGGATAAACACTCTTGTAAACTCTACCACTTGGAAGAACACCCTCCCTGCCTCCCCCCCCTACCCTGCAACCTCCTTACTTACTCCCAGCACAGGGCCAATCTCTCCGCTGTCCTCATACCTGCTGCCGTCGGTATTCTGCCTCACTGGCCGATAGTGCTTGTGCTAAAGCTAAGTCTTCTTCCTCCTGAGAACTGGGAAGGAGGAACAGCTTAACTTAGTATCTAAAATGTGAGCATCTCATCTGTTAGGAATCACTGTGCTGAGCCCTTCTAAGTATTGTTTCAATTTTCACATGTAGGTTTTTACAGGGTGTTGGTATTGTCCTCATTTTATTGAACATATTAAGACCGTAAGGGACCAAAGAACTTGTCCAAGGTCATATAGTTAAAAAACTTAATTTTGAGCCCAAGTTCCTATTAGCCTGCATTGGATGACAGCAGTCCCACCTCTCTCCCTCCAAACTGAGCCCTCACCCACGCCCCACCCTTTACCAGTGAGTAGGTACCTTGGGACCTGGGGTTTGGTCTCTGCCAGGGACAGTTCCAAGGCTCGTTGCAGAGCCTCATCCTCACTCTGCAAAAGGAAAAATAAGACCAGGTGCCTTGGACTTCACTCTCTGTGGGTCTGCTTCTGTCCATCCAACCTCTGCCCCACTCACCAAGCCATTTTGCAAAGTAATCACTGGAGGGGCTGTCCGGGTTGGAGACTGAGTTGTGGCTCTATGACAGATGTTCAAGAGGCTCAGGTCAGAGATATGAAGGGGAAAAAGGGAGAGGGGAAACAGGCAGGCCTACCTGCTGGCAGAGGAAGACGAAGGCAAGGTCTGGTTCGGGCTGGGGATGGTCTTTGTAGAAGAAGCCAGGCTTTGTGCCCTGGAGATGGCAGCCAGTCTGTAGGAAGAGACACTCTGGGCATGCCTCCAGGCACCTATGGCTTATAGGTTCCTCTCACCCCCAACCCAGGAAGTCAGGAGGGGAGCTCCTCCAAAAGATCTGGAAAACATGCACTTGAAAAAGAAAAGACTCCCTAGCCAAAGGAGACAGGGTGAAGCTTCCCAACTGTTATGACAAAGGTTCATTCAGGTCCCAAAAGCAAGTAGAGAACTTGGTTGCAATTACCCTGCCCTACTGGTGGGGTGCCCCTCCCCAGAGCAATCATGGTCCAGTGGGTGACGGTGCTTGATGCAGAAATTTCGGCCACAGCGGTCACAGGTCAGTTTCATCATTTCCCGCTGCCGGCAGCCAGCGCGTTCACACTTATTGGTGAAGATCTGAGGTGGAGTAGGAAGGATTGTCTCTGCTGAGATCTCTGCTCCCTTTTCAACCCTGTCCTAACAGCTGTGCAGAGTTCCAGGCGTTTGTAGTCCCAGGTGACCATGGTTGATCCCTCTAACACTTACCTTACGTTTTTGTTGAGCTGGATCTGAGCGACAGTCTCGGTCAATGTGCTCCCCAACAGCACGGTCAGGGGACTCCCCTCTGGCCACAGGAACAGGCACGTTACAGAGCGGGCATACAGGCACCTGGATATCCTATAGTTAGGGAGCAGGGGTCGGTATGTGGCCTACTCCCAGTCCAGCCAGATCTCTGGTCCTGAGAGAATCCCCCTGAAAGAACCTGGACATGCCCTCCATAAACGCAAAAGGAAATAATATTCCCAGCACTGAGCCTCAAGAAGACAATAAAGGAGAGAAATGTGAGGCAGAGGGGTTCCGGAGATTTTGCACGCATCCTCCACCCGCCCCCTTTCACCCTCAGACCGCCCCCTCACCTTTTGGTAAGCAGATCCACAGTGATGCTGGGCGTAGGCCACATGGTCTGCGCAGAAGATGCCCGAGCAGGCATCGCACTTGAGCGGCAGAAAATCTGCAGGAAGTGGGACAGACTGCAGGTCCAGTGGGACCTCGACGTTCCCGCTCACTCAAGCTTTCCACTCAGGGGCAGGAAAACGCTGCCGCACTAGGAACCAACTGGACCCTGGCCCTACTCCACGATCTCCTAAGCCACGCCCCAAGCTCGAGCCCCGCCCTCCTCGGGCACTCCCAGCCCAGGAGCCCTCCACTCCGCCCGGCCCCGCCTCCCGCGTGCTCCGCCCCTCACCCCTTTACCCGCTTACCCAAGCGCTTACAGCTCGGCTCCGAACAGTGAGCCCCAAGGTCCGGAAACTCCATCGCCGGGCCGGACGGGGACCTGCTGGGAGAGGACGCGATGCTGAGCTCCCCAAGGGCTCCAGCTCTGGATCCAAATCGCGACCCCGACTCTGGGGGGAACTCCTCGTCCCGCCCCTTCCTCCCCTCGATTCAGGCCGCTTTACCGGAGCGTCAGCGCCTCCCGGACCGCAGTTCTCACTCCTCCCTTGGCGCGCGCGGGCGCGCTGACGTCATCGCGCAGGGCGGGCACGTCCCGCTCAGTCTGCGGGGGCGGGGCGCATCACGGAAGAGCCGAGGCCCGCCCCTCCTGTTTTGCCAGGCGTCAGGGAGTTGAATGGTGTCTCCTGGGCTACCGAGTGGCCGCGGGTGGGTTTCGAGACCCTGGGCGCGGGCCTAAGGGCCACGAGGGCGTTAGGGCGGGCGAAGACAAGGAGAGATTACATCTTCGAGGCTGGGGTGGTTTGAGGTCTTTCACAATTGGATCCTTCGCCTGCTTCTCACTCTGCACCCTCCCCGAGCCATTTCGTTTACAGCCGCTGCTATACCTACTCTACGAACTGAAAACACCCATGTTTCTGTGAGATACACATTTCCCTTCAGAGCCGTAGCTCCTCCACGTTTGGTTTCGCTGTCCTTTGGTAAGACTTCTCTGACCCTCCTCAGTTTGAGCCCAGTGCATCTCTCGTGGTTTCCCGTCGTACTTTTCTAGCACCCTATCACCTTATTGTAATCATCTCTTATCTCACTCCCTCACTGCCCCCTTCCCACATAAATATAGTGGTAAGACAAACCACGTCTGCCTTCCCTTGAGTTGGGCCCAGCACTCAGTGCAGTGCCTGGAACTGTGTGGTTTTCAGACCTTAGTGTGAATCACCTGCTTTAAAATGCGGATTCCTGAGCTCCCTTCCCCTCCCCACCCAAGGAAGCACAGGAGAGAAATTCGGACAGATATCCATCTACTACAATTTGAAAAACACATGCCTGGAATATTCTGAATGCTTACTTAATGTTTCTTGAGTGAAGCTAGAGAGTCGCTGGATTGGTGTCCTGCTTGACCCTAGGGAGCCCAGGTTGAGACTTCCATTTCAACACGTTTTCTCACATGCCTCTCTGGCCCTTCATGCATGGGCTTGGTTACCCTGGCTTCCCATAAATTTGGGCATGGAGATAAGTAAACAGATGAAATACTTAGAGTTGAACATGTCCTCCAAAATGGAGAGAGAACCAGCTACAACTGCGAATGAGACAGCTTTCTTCTCTTCTCCCTCTCTCCCTGCAGCTTTTGGTTTTGCTTCCCTCTGTGTCTGCTTCTTACATCCTTACAGCTCTAACGCTACTGGAAATTAAAACCACTTTTCCCTGGTTTCTCAAGCAGAGGGCCTAATTTCAGCTCCAGCTGTGCCCATTTGCCTTGACTTGGATGGTCTGCCAAGCAGTGACCTGTGGCCCAGGGTGTGTGGTCAGGGTATGTGGTGTTCTGATGGGCCAGGCCTGAGTCACATGTTTGGGGGAAGGGAGTCAGCGCCACTAAAGTGAAAATTACCAAACTGGCTTGGATAATCCTAGTAACCCAAGAGAGTCCATTCAGTTTCTTCCTTCATTCAGCAATATACTGAGTGTCCTCCCATGTGCTTGTCACTGGATGACATGTGCAAAGACCAGGAAATACTAGGCAAGACGGCAGTGCATTTCAGGTACACCCATTCTGGAGTTGACACGGCAAAACCTGAAGGGTGAGTAGATGTTGGCTAGGTGAAGGCCAAGGGAGAAAGGAAGGAGGTGGAAGTAGGTGCTATTTCAAGCAGAGGAATCAGCAGGGACAAAGACCTGGAGATAAGAGAAAACAAGATTCTTCAGATGAGCTTTTAAAAAGCTGATAGCATCAGGATCTTAGAGTGTAAGAAACAGCTTGGCAGGAGATAAAGCTGGAGAGTTCAGTTCAGTTCAGTTCAGTCGCTCAGTCGTGTCCAACTCTTTGCGACCGCATGAATCACAGCATGCCAGGCCTCCCTGTCCACCACCTACTCCCGGAGTTTACTTAAACTCATGTCTGTCAAGTCGGTGATGCCATCAGCAACCAGCAGAGCATTTTCTTTAGGAAAAACCCTGAGGAGGAAGCTCATACCTGCCTTGCTTGGATTGCGACTGTTGTATCATACCCGTGTTTACGACTGTTTCATTGTTTGCTCTAAACCTAGCCTGCTTTACATGGGTCCTTCTTGTCTTTGGTCCCATCTTTCCTTTATGACTGTTCACTCTAAAAGGATGTAATTGGATTGGAGGGAGACAGGTTCTCTTGGAGCACACTGCAGTCAATTCAGCTATTAAGTCCATCGTAAATCCCAGCAGACAGCAGTGTAGCAGCAATGTGGTTCCATACACTGAATGTGTGTTCACAGTAACAGCACCTGGAGGCCTACTCACGCTATGGTTCAGCAAACGAAGGAGACAGGAAAGAGACTGGAGAGTTAGCAGGGGTCAAATCTCCTCAGATCATTGAGGCCACATTAGTTATTGAGAATTTTAACATAAACATAATATCAGCTTCCCTTGTGACTCAGTGGTAAAAAAAAATCTGCCTGCAATATGGCAGACTCAGGTTTGATCCCTGGGTCAGGAATATCCCCTGGAGAAGGAAATTGCAACCCACTCCAGTATCCTTGCCTGGAAAATCCCATGGACAGAGGAGCCTGGCGGGCTACAGTCCTTGGGGTCACAAGAACTGAACAACAACAAATGAGGAACTATAGATAGCTTTAAGAAGGAGAGTAATATGATCAGATTTGTATTTTGGGAAAGTCACTCTGGCTTCAGAATGGAGAACAGATTGGTAGAAGGGAGGCTAGGCTGAAAGCTGTTGCTATAATAGACGCAAGAGATAATGATGGCCTGAACTAGGTGGGGATGATACTTAGAATTAATGAAACTCAGTATAGAACTTAGATGTGAGATAGATATTTAAAAATAAGTAACTTTCAGGACTTCCCTGGTGGTCCAGTGGTTAAGGCTTTGTCTTCCAATGTAGAGGGTGTGGGTTCAATCCCTGGTGGGGAAGCTAAGCTCCCACATGTTTTGGGGCCATAAAAGTTGAAACTTAAAACAGAAGCAATATTGTAACAAATTCAATAGACTTTAAAAATGGTCCACATCAAAAATCTTTAAGTAGCTATCCAGTGTATCACTGAGAGGATAAAATGGTTTAAAAAAAAAAAAAACAACAAGAAAAGAACTCCTTGGACTTTCCTGGTGGCATAGTAGATAAGAATCTGCCAGCCAGTGCAGGGGACATGGGTTCAATCCCTCCTCTGGGAAGATTCCACTTGCCACAGGGCAACTAATTCTGAGCGCAATTACTGAGCCCATGCTCTAGAGCCCTTGAGCCGCAACCACTGAGCCCTTGCCTAGAGCCAGTGCTCCACAAGAGAAGCCACCACAAGGAGAAGCCTGTGCAGCACAGCAAAGAGTAGCCTCCACTCGCCACAACTAGGGAAAGCCCGTGCAAAGCAACAGAGACCCACCACAACCAAAAATAAAAATAAATAAATGATTATAAAAAAGAAAAAAGAATTTTTGGCCACACCACACGGATTATAGGATCTTAGTGCCCCAACCAGGGATTGAACCCCAGCCCTTGACAGTAAGAGCAAGTCTTTCAGGGAAATTCTGGCAGCTTCCTCCTCCATCCATCCTCACCCCTGGGGTAGGCTCTGGGGAGCAGTGTTTCTGCCAAAGATGATTGGTCTGGGAGTGGACATCTGACCCACACTGGGTATCTGAGTTTGTGTTCACCAAAAGCATAACCTGAAACAAGGATTTCGATGCAGATGATTCATGTAGGAAGTAATCCTAGCCAGAGTAAGAAAGTAGAGAAGAGGGAGATAGGGAAGGAAGGATAACCAATGAAGAGTTATTGAACTGGTTACTACTGTGGGTCCCAGTTCCACTGGGAACTCTCGAAGAAGGCATATAAAATATGCCTCAGAATCATCCTTCTAAAGGACAGAAGGCTGGGCTGACTCCTGTCTTCAAGTTGAAGGTTTCTCCTAGGAGGTGATAACTCCCCCATGTCCGCCTGGCACAGTGAGCCTGTACCTGTGTGCAAGCTGATTCAAGCTGATTGAGGTGCGAGGAATTTGAGGAAAATTCTGGAGGCATAAATACTGAATCTGGCTTGGCTTAGAAGTGGGAAGTCATCAGGGCTCAGGAGCTGTCCACAGTGACATCTGAAGTCCAATGCACCAAGCAGGCAAGGCACCAGCAGCATCTGCTATATTTGGCCAATCAGATTCCTTCCTGGGAATTTGGAATCAAGGCCGGAAGAATCAGTATTCATTAAGTATTCTGTAGCATATAAGCTATGGGCTTGCCATCTGCCATACTACCATACTGTCATACTCACTGAGGGACAGGGAGGGATTGTTATCTACCGTCCTCTGACTGATGGGACACAGTCCCATAAAAAGAGACTGATCTTGTAGCTTACACACAGGGTTTTAAGTCATACCATTACCTGACTTTTGCCTCCTCCCAAAGTCTACACTGCCCAACAAAACTATGGCTAACTGCCATTATTGCATTAGTTTCACATTGTCCCTTTTAAGGATAGTTATAAGTTATCTCCTTAGATTCAGGATATTTCTCAAGGCACTATCACACTCTCTGGTCACACCATGAAGTCAGGCTGTTGATGTGTGGGAGATTCTTGATCTGGGTATGCACCTGTCATGGGGATTCAACTTTCAGCCTAGGCCCTTTAGAAGGACAGTTTTTGAAGAGCTTGTTGTTTGTAAGTTCCAAGACTCCAAATCTGTGAAATCCAGTAACAGTTTTGATAGATACAAGCATATGAAATTGCTAAGACTTGACTATTGGTTTTATTTACCAAAACAACAATCACATATAGTTTATTAATAAACAGCACATGTCACAGGCAAGAATTATTTTTCCTCTGACTTCCTATCTAATACTCATCCTGCTGGATTTTGGAGCCCAGATAAGACAAACAAGCACTGTGAGAGTAT